CTAACCCTAACCCTCTACAAGCATAACCCTAGTCGCGCCCACGCTCTAAGACTAACTTGAGCCCTCTACAAGCATAACCCTAGTCGCGCCCACGCTCTAAGACTAACTTGAGCCCTCTACAAGCATAACCCTAGTCGCGCCCACGCTCTAAGACTAACTTGAGCCCTCTACAAGCATAACCCTAGTCGCGCCCACGCTCTAAGACTAACTTGAGCCCTCTACAAGCATAACCCTAGTCGCGCCCACGCTCTAAGACTAACTTGAGCCCTCTACAAGCATAACCCTAGTCGCGCCCACGCTCTAAGACTAACTTGAGCCCTCTACAAGCATAACCCTAGTCGCGCCCACGCTCTAAGACTAACTTGAGCCCTCTACAAGCATAACCCTAGTCGCGCCCACGCTCTAAGACTAACTTGAGCCCTCTACAAGCATAACCCTAGTCGCGCCCACGCTCTAAGACTAACTTGAGCCCTCTACAAGCATAACCCTAGTCGCGCCCACGCTCTAAGACTAACTTGAGCCCTCTACAAGCATAACCCTAGTCGCGCCCACGCTCTAAGACTAACTTGAGCCCTCTACAAGCATAACCCTAGTCGCGCCCACGCTCTAAGACTAACTTGAGCCCTCTACAAGCATAACCCTAGTCGCGCCCACGCTCTAAGACTAACTTGAGCCCTCTACAAGCATAACCCTAGTCGCGCCCACGCTCTAAGACTAACTTGAGCCCTCTACAAGCATAACCCTAGTCGCGCCCACGCTCTAAGACTAACTTGAGCCCTCTACAAGCATAACCCTAGTCGCGCCCACGCTCTAAGACTAACTTGAGCCCTCTACAAGCATAACCCTAGTCGCGCCCACGCTCTAAGACTAACTTGAACCCTAACTAACCCTAACCCTAACCCTAGTCCTAACCCTAACCCTAACTAAGACTAACTTGAACCCTAACTAACCCTAAGCATAACCCTAGTCGCGCCCACGCTCTAAGACTAACTTGAGCCCTCTACAAGCATAACCCTAGTCGCGCCCACGCTCTAAGACTAACTTGAGCCCTCTACAAGCATAACCCTAGTCGCGCCCACGCTCTAAGACTAACTTGAGCCCTCTACAAGCATAACCCTAGTCGCGCCCACGCTCTAAGACTAACTTGAGCCCTCTACAAGCATAACCCTAGTCGCGCCCACGCTCTAAGACTAACTTGAGCCCTCTACAAGCATAACCCTAGTCGCGCCCACGCTCTAAGACTAACTTGAGCCCTCTAACCCTAGTCGCGCCCACGCTCTAAGACTAACTTGAGCCCTCTACAAGCTAACCCTAGTCGCGCTAACTTGAGCCCTCTACAAGCATAACCCTAGTCGCGCCCACGCTCTAAGACTAACTTGAGCCCTCTACAAGCATAACCCTAGTCGCGCCCACGCTCTAAGACTAACTTGAGCCCTCTACAAGCATAACCCTAGTCGCGCCCACGCTCTAAGACTAACTTGAGCCCTCTACAAGCATAACCCTAGTCGCGCCCACGCTCTAAGACTAACTTGAGCCCTCTACAAGCATAACCCTAGTCGCGCCCACGCTCTAAGACTAACTTGAGCCCTCTACAAGCATAACCCTAGTCGCGCCCACGCTCTAAGACTAACTTGAGCCCTCTACAAGCATAACCCTAGTCGCGCCCACGCTCTAAGACTAACTTGAGCCCTCTACAAGCATAACCCTAGTCGCGCCCACGCTCTAAGACTAACTTGAGCCCTCTACAAGCATAACCCTAGTCGCGCCCACGCTCTAAGACTAACTTGAGCCCTCTACAAGCATAACCCTAGTCGCGCCCACGCTCTAAGACTAACTTGAGCCCTCTACAAGCATAACCCTAGTCGCGCCCACGCTCTAAGACTAACTTGAGCCCTCTACAAGCATAACCCTAGTCGCGCCCACGCTCTAAGACTAACTTGAGCCCTCTACAAGCATAACCCTAGTCGCGCCCACGCTCTAAGACTAACTTGAGCCCTCTACAAGCATAACCCTAGTCGCGCCCACGCTCTAAGACTAACTTGAGCCCTCTACAAGCATAACCCTAGTCGCGCCCACGCTCTAAGACTAACTTGAGCCCTCTACAAGCATAACCCTAGTCGCGCCCACGCTCTAAGACTAACTTGAGCCCTCTACAAGCATAACCCTAGTCGCGCCCACGCTCTAAGACTAACTTGAGCCCTCTACAAGCATAACCCTAGTCGCGCCCACGCTCTAAGACTAACTTGAGCCCTCTACAAGCATAACCCTAGTCGCGCCCACGCTCTAAGACTAACTTGAGCCCTCTACAAGCATAACCCTACAAGCATAACATTAAAGGGAGCCTGCCTGATCGCAGACAGACAGAGTCTCCCGCCAAATAATAAGACATGAGGACTTTGCCTGTCCCCATCCCCACCCACACCCGTTTTCAGAAAAACTCCCGTAGACCAAGCCGAAAACACTGTTATGGTGTTTATAATTTAGTCATACTGGAAATCTTAAACAGCAGCGGTTAAAGTTGTCTATTCTCGTGCTTCGGAAGCATCAATTTCGCAAGTCCTCTTTTTTGGTCTTTTTGCCATCATACTCCGCCGCATAAACTTGGAAAAGTCCCAGCTCGAATTCTGCTGACCAGCGCTTCCAATCATCCTTCCTGCTTCTCGTGCTGCGCGATAAAGGCGCTGATTTCGCGAACGTGAAAGCCCAACGCGCCCAGCGACTCCACATCTGATCGATCGCGACTGTCTACTCTGTCATTTCTCCTTGAGTCGGTATCTGTAAAGTGAATTGACGTTGTCGTCGTAGCAAATGAAGAGGCCGGGGATGTTTTCCATAGCGAAAAGAGTTTCTCGAATGAGACCCGCTTGAGAGACGTTCAAGTAGCCGCCAGAGCCCGTTGCTTTCGCAGTTGTACTGAAAACAAGTTTGGATAATTCTTTGTGCAGAAAATAGTGACCTAGATAGAGTATTTCTTTTTGAAGTTGACAACGAAGCCTGCGTTAATTCTCTCGGCGTCGATCGGCCGCGATCTACTCGACGAGATAGAAGTAACTGTTACACTGTTTTGCGAGAGGTTCTCATAGTTCCGATCGTTTCGGCTAAACGCTGACTTGTCCATCGACATTACCGACCGGAAGGCCGAGTCTTTGTCTTCCTTCGCGCTGGCCATGTCTTTCAGGAACTCAAGGACGGCCGCATAACCTGGGCGCCATACACCCGTAAATTCCTCGTTTGATTCCTCCTTTAGTAATCATTCTCAATATTCGTAAAAACAAAAGGGATGGCTTATTTCAATCGCCAATTCTGAAAATACGAATAAAAAATATTTTGAAGAAACCGAATTTATTAGAAGAAAAGGAACCATTTGCCAATTAAGGAACTTCCCAGCAACCTTTCAAAAGTGGACCAGTTTCAACGGGAGTTCCTTAAGGAGGTAGTCCCTGCTTTTGCGATCTCGGCTCTTTTTGAACAGCGCTCCCACAAATTTGCGGTGGGGTTAAGGGATAAAAACTATATGAGTAGAAAGGTCGAACCCTGATGAAAGTTTGAATTCACGGAAAAAATTTTATTCGCCCGCTTAAGGAGTTAGAGGGCGATAATAGAACCTAGCCCGGGCAAAATCGCCATTTTGGCCTTTTTCTAAACGCGCCTAAAATCAAGAGGATGTTTCAAAAATTTAAACTTATTAATTTTTTGAAAGTTCATACCTTCGTCTAGGTTTGAATTCAGGGAAATTAAAAAATTCCGAAAAGTCATAATGTAATGCCATCAATCAAAGGTTGGGTCTCAAAATCTTGAAAAAATAAGTTTTTAAGGATGATTTATACTAAATTAGCATAATAATAGACATTTTATTTATTATCTTTATTATCTAGAGGTAATTTAAAATCGAAATAAAGCTATATCTATGGATAAAATTGGCAAAAAATTTCGAGTTTTTGAAATTTTACATCAAAATCTCATTTTTCAAGTGCGATTTTGGGTTTTTTCCTCTTATATTTTGAAAAAATGATCAACACAAAGTTTTTAGCTCTTCTAACGAGTTTTCAGAATTTGCAAAGAAAATTTGAAAATTCCGATTTTTCAAAAGCGAGGACTACCCCCTTAAATTGGCCAGTTAGAATGATCAAGCGTAGAAGAGAGAGAGGTCAGTGCACTGAAGGGAGTTTTTGATGACGATGAAAGTAGCGCTGGTGGATATTGGAAGTGCTGCCAGACAGAACATGCAAAAAAGGTACAGAATCAGATCAAGCCTGGACTGGGCGGGTGACTTGCCGCTTCTTCTCCCGCTCTTTGCGCCGCTCGGCAGAGGGCTTCGCGTTCTGGTCGCCTCCTTCGCGGTTGTAGAAGATGCAGTACTCTGAATTGCGCTCAAACTTTGAGCCTCAAAGGAAGCCTATCAAGAAGAGCTGTCTTACGGTCGGAGCGGAGATAATCTACAGCGCTTGTTGGCCTTTTTCCTGTTTTCTTCGATCGGTCGGACGAACTAGTTCCTCTCCACTCTCAGAATTTTGAGCTTCTTCCCGACGAGCACTGGAAGCTGCGGCGGAAGTAGACTCAGCAAATTGCCCTGCAAGATCCAAATGAAATACGATTCTAAACGAAGTTATCAAGTACCTGTAAATGAAGCTCTGTCAAATTGTCCATTAGTGCGATTTCCGGCGGAATGAGCGTTATCTCGTTATCTCTTGCGCAAAGAATTTGAAGTCTCTTAAATTGGGCCACTTTTGAAGGAAGATTGTGGAAGTCGTTGTCGGAAACGTACAACGCGCGCAGCGACTACAAAAATAGGAAAAACGCGACTGACTGAGAGTTACCTTAGAAAGGAGCTCGCAAACTGTTTCGTTGAAGTTGTTTTACGTCAAGTCGAGTATTTCGAGCTTGGCGAGTTTGTGGAAGCTGTTCGGCAGGCGCTGAAGCTTGTTCATTCCCAAATTGAGATTACTCAGCTCTTGCAGCTAAAACAAGGGCTTCTAGAAAAGAATCGCGCTCTTGAATTCACCTCCGACAAGTTTCCGGGAAGCTCGACGAGCTCATTGTTGAAGCAGTTGAGCAGTTTGAGATTCTTTAAGTTTGTGATCGAAGCAGCGAGCTGTTTGAGGCCGTTGTGCGCGAGAATGAGCTCGGAGAGGTGCTGCAGTTGGCTGAAGTCGGAAGAAATCTGCGTCAGTTGGGTGATGCTCTTGTCGCTGAGAGAAAGACTGTAGTGTCTGCTTTTCTTGTTTTCTTCAACGATTTTTGTGACATTGCTTGACATTCTAAAATGAAGACGAATGAAAACATCTAGTAATTTCACAAGCTTGGGCCTTGATTCCTTGGTTAGTTATCTTTTGAAGAATGAAGTTTGGACGGTTTTCAAGTCTAAAAGTGATTCAGTGGGGCCAGTGCTTAGAGCATGCCCTGATGAGTGTCGAGCGCGTGCTGGACTGAGTAGTACCACTGCATCAGCTCGGGACTCTGTTCGTACTGCTCCCAAGCGCTCGTCCCTTCAGTCAAGTTGATTACTGCAAAAGCTTCGATATATAGAATTCCGTCTTGAACGAATTTACTGTCTGGATCTGTCCATCTTTCGTCAGGATCGGCACCTTGCTCTTGATGAATTTACCCTTTTCGTCGAAGTATTATTTGGCGATTTCGCTCATCGGCTCGGCCACTAATCGGAGCACTTGCTCCAGAGTCGAGACGATCGCTCCGGAGTCCTTCACTACTGCGTCGGGCTCGCTACTGCTGTTGTTGTAGAAGGCGAGGACGGGCACTAAAAATGACTATTCTTTGCCAAAAGGAACAAGCAATTTACCTTGTAAGTAGTTTTCAATGACACCCTTCAGCTCTGGCTTGCCAATGCTGACTTCGACGTCTTTGTTATCGATTCCCCGAAATTTAACATAGGCCCTTACATTGGCGCAGTAAGGACAGCCGAAATACCCAAATAATCGCATTTTCTTGTACGAGTTTCAATATTCAATCGTTCCAGAGGAATCTTCGATTATGTAGCTTCTATCTTTCGCCAACACATTTCTCGATTCCTTCTCGTTCCAGAAGAGCTTTCAATCGCTTTAAAATCACCTCGAATCCAATCGTTCTTTTTACCTGGATCGAGGATAAACTAGCAAAAGGAACGATTCGGCGAAAAACGATTCGATTCATCAAAATTCTTAAAGTAGAAAGGTGATTATCATTAATTTCAAATTGTCCCTATCAAGTATTTTGAGTAGCAGCCTAGTGAATCGACGGTCTTTCTTCAGATCGCTTATTTGACTTGAACATTAGTCAAATTGGCGGAGGTGACAAAGCCCTTTCCGGCAACTTCCCAGGCGACATCCTTAAAAAGCTTTTTAGGACTTGTTAAATTCAGCTGTAGTTACGTTAAATGTGGCTTGGCATTTGTCGTTCGTCTTTAATCCTGGGACAACTTGCTCGAACACGAAGACTGCTTTTTTACTCGTTGGGTTGATTAGTTCGTCGTCAAAAGCTGAATCAAGAAGTTTTAGCTGGCGTTTTCGCCACTGGAGTCTTCGGTCGCACTGGTGTTTTCGCTTTCAAAGATGCAGAGGAAGAAGCAGGAGTCTTAGACTCTGCTGGTTTATCGCGAGGCGTTTTTGGCGTCTTACTCAAAAGTCTCTCAGTAACTTCAGCTGCCTTGGCCGTAAGCGGCTTCGACTTTTCAGGCTTTTCCATCGTCGAAGTCGGAATCTTTGGCTTCGGATTCGTCGCTGCCGTGCTCTTCCCTGGTGCAGTTACTGAACTACTCGCTGGTTTAACTTTCTGCACTTCTTTCTTGCTAGAAGATGAAGCTTGGCCGAATCGTGAGACAACCTTTGGCTGAATCACACCTGGTTTCGTCTTTGAAGAGGTCGGCTGGACCACCTTCTTCGCTTCCTCTTTCTTTGTTGCACCAGGCTTTCTCTCAGTTTTACTCACGCCAGTCTTCGCAAATGCGCCAAATCGACTCGCAGAAGTTGAAGTAGTAACAGGTCGTGGTTTGGCTGAAGCTTGCCGCGGTGGAATCGAACTCTTCGCACTCATCGTTCTTGGCTTTAGCGCAAATCCAGTATCAAGTCGAGAATTCAGCGTGCTCTTCGCTCGATCAATCATTGCCAATTGACCATTGGTTTCACACTCGCCGGTCAAGAAGTAACAACTGGTTTTGCCGGTTTCGCGCAAGATCCAAAAGCGGGACGAGCAGTGACCGGTCGTTTTGGCGCGCTGACGGTTGCTGATTTTGTCGTCGTCTTCTTGGTTTATTTTGCCGAAGATAGGGATAGCCGACCAGCGAGAAGTAGCCGCAGCCGATCGTCGTCCAGAGGCAGAAGTTCAAGAAGAAGCGCCGGTTGAAATGGCAGACGCAGTTGTTGATCCAGGGAAAGTGGTGGTCTAAAGCGAAGAGGTTCAAAAGGGATGAATTGAGAGAGAATGGTTACCCATCTAAATGACGAATTTGGCACAGACGGAGCAGTGGTACGAGCCAGTAGGCTTCGGAAATAGACATTTCGAGCAGTTGCCTGCGAATCTGCCAATAGAAACCATCAAATTCTCTAGCATCGCTTCTCCGACATCGCTATACTTCATAGCCTATAAGCAGCGTTTGCGGTGAGTGAAGCGAGGACGAATTTCAAAGAGGGAAAATTCTGCAGCGAGGAGCGGGAGAGACTGGAAAGGCGCACAATGGGATTTTCTAGCGACTGGACAAATTCTTCATGAAGTACAGCTGGTGATTCTTGAGAGTTGGAAAAGGAGAGGCGATCTTTGAGGCTTCTGGCAGTTGAAGACTCTTCGGGCAAAGAGTTAACACACCATTGTACCTGTAGGCCTTGCATATGCAAGTCGATTATAAAAAGAAAAACCAGCGCTAGAAGGAAAATAATCAGTCCTGAAACATGTGAAAATCGGGCCATTTTAATCCCCTTTCACTTTTTCTCTGTCAGTTCATCTGAAAATTGAAATTTTCGGCTCGACACAATTTTTGGAGTTAAGAAGATTTGGAGTAAGCTAAAAGGAGCAATTATATTTTCCGGAAATACTCCAAATCGGAGCAAAATTTCAAAGCCGATTTTAATAGTGTTAAGGGCCTCCCGGCCCTTTCAAACCCCGGCAAAAACGCGCCTCGGGGCCCGGGCTTTCTTTTGAGCTATTCAGATACCCTTAAATATTTCTGCAACACCCTTAAAATCGGCTTTGAAATTTTGCTCCGATTTGGAATTTTTCCGGAAAATAAAGTTGCTCCTTTTGGCTTACTCCAAATCTTCTTAACTCCAAAAATTGACCATAGCCGAAATTTTCGAATTCCTTAACCAATATTTTGACCATTGATTCAAGCATAAGAAAATATATTAAAGATATTGCAGCAAAAAGAAGAACAATGAAGGCAGTGAGAAAAAGGTAAAGCTTTGGAAGAAGAAAAAACATGTGAATATGAAAAATAAGGAAACAAGATTTTACATGGTCGGTTACATGGTCGGAATCGGCTCGGATTTTCGTCGTTTAATCTTCTTTGAAGGCGGTTTTTGGTTGATTGACTCGCTCTTTCGCTTCTTAGAGAACGATAAGGGAAGAAAAGGGATGATTTCTTTACCTGGGGATGAAGAGAAGTTTGTTCGAAAATCGAGTCGCCGTAGAATTTCGAATCAGGGTTGAGTTTCTTGTGTTCTAGCTTGAAAATTCTCGCTGCTTCGCGAACTCCGGACAAGTAGGGACTGTCACTCCTGTCACTGTATGTGGGAAATACCTATCAAACATTTTTTATAGAGGGATGCGCTTAAACGTACCGATTGGTGGCTTCTCCATCGAAAAATAATCGATCGGAAGCTGGTTCCGCCATTTTGTCGTAGTCTTTTCCGGTTGAACCGAGTTTGATAAAAGAATAACTCATATGGGAGTATTCTTCTTTTCCTCAGCGTGTAATGTGGAAGCTCAGGGGCTCTGGGCTCGTGTTTTCTTTGAAGATTTCTTTTTTAAGAGTCACAAAATGGCGACAATTCAAGTAAAAAGGAGCTTGTTAATTGACTCTTGCCTTGAAGCGTCGCCATCGCACTGGAAACGAGCTGTTTATCACTCATCGAATGATAAATATCAAGCGAAGCTCCAGCTGCGATCGACATGAGCGTAAAATGATCACTCTCAGCCGATGGAATATCGTAGAACACATTAAAAATCCCCGACGTATCGTGTTCATCATCAGCGTCGACGCCTGATGGAGCCAAAGAAATCAGCGCCACCGATCATGTAACTCCACCATTTTGAATCGAAGCGGAGGAGGCATTATTCTATCAGGCCGGCGCCGATGTTTTCTACAGCGCGCCATTTTCGCGGAGATAAGTCGGGGGTGAATTTGATGATTTTCTTTTTCATGAGAGCGAGCATGAGTGGGATTGACACGAAGAACTTTTGAAATGGATACAAAAGTCTTATTTCAACCTTTTTAGAAAATTGTATTCTGTATCCGATCCTATCCGCCTCAATTTTCTCCCGATGAGTCGTTTCGACGACCACCTTTTCCCCAGAATGATCAATGCTCGCCACCGGTAAACCGAAAAATTTCAAACTCTGTATTCAGCGGTTTCGACAATTCTTCCAAAACATCAGAAAATCCGTATGTCACGATCGCATGATCCCTGCCAAATTGCGGAAAACGCTCGTTCTGGTCCCAATTGAGCGCTGAAACGCTAGAAAGGCTCGCTCCACAGGCGTATTCCAAGTTGTTGATGTGGAGGTCGAGCAGTTTCATTTCTGTTTTTGAGTATCTTTCCGCGCTTTGGCTGACGCATTCTTTGTGAGCGACGATGAGTGGAATGTCCTTTTTCTTGTCTAATCTCCAGTCGGATAAAATGTCCAAAATCGTGTTGAAATGATGCTCCATTCTCAAGTCTGGTCCACGAGCCATCGATTCGGATTTGACAAAAGGCCGCATTGGCTTCCGAGGATGTGGACATCGTGGTAGATTTGACGACTCATGGTGATGATAGGGTTGTTTTGGCGGCCGTTGATGACCATTGCTCCTACAGCTACCTTAAAATGGACGATAAGTGAGCTTTTTCACTCAAACGAACCTAAGGTGCCCAAACATGAACTCGTCCTCCTATCCTCTTCCTCGCCTCTAGAATCTTCACATTGAATCCAAAATAATGAAACTGTCTGGCTGTAGAAATTCCTGATGGTCCAGCTCCAATTACAACAATCGTTTCTCCAGCGGAATGTTTTTGACGGACGACGATTGCGAAGACTGAAACAGCTGTTTTACGAGTTGGTATTTCTTGGCTTGCGAGAGGGGAAGAAACGGTTGCGCTAGATTTTTCGAGGAGTCTTTCCTTGGAGTTCCTTTCTCGTCGTTGTTGTCGATTAGCTCGCGATCCCCTCCATTTCAGCCCTGAAGAAGTCATTCACGAGATTAGCCACGCTCATCTCAGCCGCTCATCAGACAAATGGCCGATTGGGCCTTATTCTAAAGATCGCTTCAGTTAGCTTGCTACAGTAATTTCACATTCAATCGAGTGCAGATCAAAAATAATCAGTGAAGAAAACCCCTTCTTTTTATTTCTTGTTCTCTAGTTCACTGTTTTCTTCATTTTCATCCCTTAGCACCATTTTTCGGCTTTTCTCTTTTTTCTCGCTTTTGGAATCTCCGCGCGCGCTGATTGGTCCGCGCGCGGAGCGAAACATTTTAGCTTTAGGAAGCAGAGAAAAGCAAGTCAACATAATTTTTTGCAAAGGAAACTACGAAAGAACGCTCGGGACGACGATCTTTTTCGACGGCAACAGCAAGGCGCAGAGCATGGTCGGCCACGAAATCGGAAAACAGAAAGAAAAATGCTGATGAAGGAAGTTAATTTGATCAAGAGACGCGACTCCTTCCACGAAACAGGTTCGAATTCTGCTATGAAATTTTTATGAAATAGTTTTCAGAAGAGCTCGAAAAGCGAGGCCGATTCCAAAATAATCACAGTCCGCCGCCCTTCCTCGAAAAAGAGTCTTCTTCGCGGGCGATCATTCCAAACTCAGACTCGGAGTCGGAGCAAGACTCGGACGAAGACTCCCTTATCGAGATTTCTGACGGTTCTGAAGAAGAAGCGGAAATGAACGAAGAATGAACTTTCGAGAAAGTTTTTGAAAATATTGTTTTTAGAATGCCAAAGATGGAATTGAGAGTCGTTGAAGTGCACTCGGAATGTTTCTTCTTCATCCAAAAATGATCCACTACGATTCCTGATCCTTGGAACGAGCTCTTTTAAAAAATGGGGGAATCATTCGGAAAAAAGCTTTAAAAAGCTTTTGAATGACCCTGACTCAGTTATTCTAAAATAGAAAGCCGAATTCAAGCGGCAGAGAGTCCCTTTTTGTCACCGGAAGTGATAAAACAGGGTAGCTCAGCGGCCAGAGCGCGGATTTTTCCGGGACGTGGGTTCGAATCCCACTCCTGTCACTTTCCGGAGAAAAAGGGGGATGTTCAGCTGCTAGAATTGGCTTTTTATTTCGAGATAAAATGTTTTATTTGAAGCTGTGGGCTATTTTTGCGGCTTTTTCTTTCGCTCCGACTAAAATGCTCCTCAGTCTTTTTTCGTAAAAAGGAGAAAATTGAAGACTTGAAAAAGGACAAGGCGTAAAAGTATATTTTTTCCAAACTCTCGCCTTTCCGAAAAAACAAGAATTCCTGAGTCAGGTTCTGAAACAGTTGAAATTTATAGCTGAACTACCCCTTAGTCAAAAGAAGCCGCAAAGCGGCTTTTCCGAAATTTCTTTGAAAAGTAAAAACTTTGCCAGTACAGAAAAAGCTGCATGCTGTTTGTACGAATTTCAGAATTGCAAATGCACCAATTGGTTTCCTGGTCTGCCAGATATTTTAAGCGGAGGAAATGGAGAGGTTCTTGGCTGGGATTCACTTCTTGTTGAGAAGTTCGCGCCGGTTTCGGCCCTTTCGGCGGATGTCGCCGTCGATGTCAATTGGGGGCAAAGAGGCTTCAAATGATCCACTTAGACTCGCATCCTGATCTCTGGAACGTGGTTTACGCTACTCTATGAGCTCCTTCTGAAGCTGAAACAACTATCGAAAAGCGCGCCGATCGACTTCACAATGGAGCACCTTTCAAACTCAGAAAGGTTGATAGAAATAACCTCGATCGAGTACTGGATCCTCCCGCTCGTCTGCGCCGGCCATTCGAAGGAAATCAACTGGATGCGTCCTCCTTTGGCCGATCAACTTGAGGATGGTAGAAGAGAGCTTTCCGTCGGCTTTGTGGAAGGAATCATCGAAAGAGAAAGGCCAACCTTGCCATGAGAATTAGAAATTTTGGATGACGGCGAAGATGATTTCGAAGAAGACTCCTCCGGCGAAGTTGAATCTGACACGATTTATTTTGGGACAAACGGCCAGACGGCGATTTTGTTGAGCGAGTTGCTTGGCGGACGTGGAGATCTGGAAGACTTGGAGGGAGAAGTGGAGGACGATGTGAAATGCGACCCTCTTCATGGAATCAAAAATGCGCAGAATATCGAAAGAGCCGTTATTTTTGAGAGTTTTCAGCACGACGCTTTTGATTTGAGGTAAATTTATTTAGAAAAAGTATTTATCTTCCAGGTTATTAGATAATTATCAGTTTCATAATTATTTAGTCTCCGAGAATGCTCTGATAAGTAAGTTTCCGTTAAGTTTTGAAGATGCATTTTCTTATTTTCTGATTTGAAACTAACAACTTAAGTTTCTATCACATCACACATTTCATTTGCTTCTTTCTAGTCCTATGAAAGCCCGCCGAGGTAGAAAAGAATCAGCAGTCAATATCATGTCCTCGAATGACAGAGAAAAATCCCAAGAAATGCGTTGATCTCGGCAATTCGTCGAGTACTCAATCGAATCCGTCGATTTTCAGGTAGAATCTACCTTCGCCGACGCTCTCAAGGTAACTCAAACTCAAGCAATTCATCTTCAACATCTTTTCCCTCTCAGAACCTATCGCAAAAAGTGACTAACGAACTCATCGACCGAAAACCGTTCATGTCCGGTCTTGCTGCGATAGAATCTGTCCAAGGTAACTTTTCCCAACCCAAGTTCCTTTTAAATCAGTTCAAGGGCTGATTCACTTGTACAAGACAAACTACGGCTTCAACATCACGGAGGAAGGCCTAGCGACATGCTCCTGCTCCTACATGTTCCAGTGGATCTAGACACGCAGGATCTGCTCCGTTCACTCGGAAATTACGACAAGAAAATAGAACACATCAAGATCGTGCGCGACCAGTCTCTGAATCAGTACATGGTTCTCTTAAAATTCGACGAGTAACAAAGTGCCGATACTTTTTATCACTCAATTACTGGGCAGAAATTCAACTCGCTCTTAGAAGAAACTTGCCAAGGTAAAGAAAAGCCGTCACATAAAAAGTTATAAAGGTTTTCGTAAATCACGTATGTGGGAAAAGTGGAACTGCTTCACGCTGGAGAAAGCGCAGGCTGGCCATTACCGAATCTCACCGAGCTGCCTGCTTGTACGATTTGTTTGGAGCGAATGGACGAGTCGGTGAAGTCCGTTTCAACCGTTCTTTGCAATCATTCCTTCCACTCTCAATGTTTGAAAAAATAGGAAGACTCCACTTGCCCAGTTTGTCGATATACGCAAACTCCGTCGAGTCAGGAAAGCTAAGGGTATGCACGTCTTTCTTGCAATTATTGGGATCTTAGATTCGTTAGACTCCCTCGTCCCCTAAGGTCACTTGCTTATCTAGATCGAGCTTTGCTCGGTCGCCGCCGTGTATTTCTCTTCATTCGGTAATTCTCGCAGTTCGTGAATTAACCTCTATTTTACTCCAGCTCGAAATACAGACGTCAAAGATACTTTACTCGTTTTCTTCCTTCGTCCAGATATAGAGAGCAGGCAAACTACGCTAGAAGTGGGAGATTCAGCAGAAGCTAGGATCCCTTCAGTGGTGTCAGAGTAGTCCCGTTGGAGAAAAGATAAATTTTTCCGCCATCGACAACCGAAGTTTCGCAACTTGGACGCTGATTGGCCGTCAGCGGAGTCGAGGGGAACCGAATCACCAACCGCCACCGCGCCGCCGGAGAAACTCCACTCAGAGAATTTTCCGCGCCGCACCACACCAACACCACCCCGAGCGAGCGCCACCGCACGAGCGCCACCACGACCCACGCGCCCAAAGTCGCGCCCACGCAACCACGCACGCACGCCGGGGAAAACCTAAAATACTGAGAAAAACATAATTCTTTCGCCACTTTTCACCAAAAATCGAGAGAAGTTTACGAAGAATCGACCCTTGGACCAGACCTTGAAATTTCGACAATCGCTGGACAGAGAAATCGTCGGGCGTTTGCGCAAAAGGCACCTCAGCTCATCATATTGCGACTTTTAGTCGCAGTATTTTCTGAGGGCCTGAAAGGTAATCCAAGGCCCATAAACCCTTACTGCCGATATATTTCGAGCTATGGCGGCGAACAAATCACTGCTAGAAACCGTCACCGAAATAAGAAGCATAAACGATCGAGTAAACTACCTCGAAGAACAAGTGCGAAATGACGAATCACTAAAGCCAAGCCTAGAGCCCTTGATCACAGAAAGCAGAGTAAAATTAGAACAGCTCAGTACAACGCTTCTTACCTGCGAGCTCGATCAAGGAAAAGACTCTACGAATGCGACAATGAGAGAAGAAGCATGGGTGGCCACTACCTGGTCTCGTCACGTCCAAGACTTGCCGAAGCTGGACGCCGCATGCAACACATCTTTCAACACCTTCTTGGGCAGAGCCGACATTTATCACCGCGCCTACGTCCGCGACAGACCTTCACGTGAACAGCCTTTCATCGCAGCAGTGTACAGCCACTTCGACTTGAACATCGAACGCTCACTTGGAACCGAATTTCTGAATTGTCAAGACTGGAAATCGGCCAAGGCGCTGCTAGAGAAATCATTCGCCGCGAAGAGTCACTACTTACTGAAGCTAAGCGAAGTTTTCGACGTCGAATACGACCATTCGAAGCCGTTTGCACACTACACCGCCAACGTCTTGCAAAAGATGAACGAGGCGAAGCAAGCGACTTTGAACTCTTACCGACAAGAGAAGTCAGCCGACGCCGGGGTCGATGAAATATTTGACATATTCTCGACGATGATGCTGTACTTGAATCTTAGGAAAGAAGAACCAGACGTTTTCAACGCAATCCTTCCAAGCCTATCAAAAGTTTACGATATCAACGAACTCTGCCGTCTCGCCCAATCCACAAGACAGAATCGAGTTGACAGCGCGACCGTCTCCCAGCACTTCAACAGAAATAAGAACAAAAAGAAGAAGAATGCTAAGCGCGCCAGCAACGATTCTAAGGATGGGAAAGACGATAAACAACCAGAATCCAAGAAGATAAATACGACTAAGAACGTTGAAGATTTCCAACCATTCGACGTTCACTTTTACACAGTGAAGAAGAAGCGACCAGGAAAGGCTTATTTCGCTTCGGCTACCATCATTACGGGCTCTAAAAGTTTTGACGTATCGATGGAAGTCGACAGCGGAGCCGAGTCCTCCTGTCTGTCCGCTGCTTACGTTCCCGACGAATTTCTCCAGATGCTGAAGCCCTGTCCCTTCAAGGTCACCGGTTTCAGCCCAAATATTCCCGCCGAGCAGCCGATGGGTATCCTTCCCTGCCGCTTATCATTCAATGGTGGCCCTGCATTCTCCCTGAATCTCACCATTATGCCAGGCAGTAAATACCCAAGTCTACTGGGCCGCGATATACTAGAGAATGCGATGACGGACAGCTTCACAGTCGACAATAAGAATCGTACTCTCTCATTTTGCTACAACGAAGCCTTCACACAAACTGAGACTCAAGTGGTGAAGCTGGACGGAGTGAAGCGGACCAAAATCAAGAAATACTTGACGACTAGATCAACGGTCAAAGACAGCGATCGGTCCCGCACTCAACCACCACGAGAAGTCCCAAAGCTGGACGCACCGAACAAGAACGCAGTCAGGTGCCCCATTCAGCTAGCGAAGCAAAAACTCGGAATTACCCTACCAGCAGACGCAGACCCGGGGCAAAAGAAGATGGTCGCCGAGCTGTGTTTGGAATTCGACGACAGATTCGGCTGCGACGGTCAAAAAATGGGTGAATTCCCGTTCGAGATCGAAATCCCGACTGATGGTACGAGTCGAAACATCAGTCAACACCCGATTCCGCAAGCTTTTCATGGTCAGGTCAGCGATCACATCTCTGAACTGCTCGAAACGAAAATAATAGAAGAGATCAAGGACCAGAAAGGGTTTAACAGCCCGGTATTGCCTATTCCTAAGAAATCTGGGGAAATGCGCTTCTGCATCAACTACAAAAACAGCCTGAACAAATGCCTTTCCGACAAATCCGACCCTTACCATCTCCCAAGCATGGAGGATACGATCGCGAACATTGGACCGGGCAATAAGTTTTTCGCCACAGTTGATCTACGAAGTGGATATTGGCAGTGCCCTGTAAAGAAAAGCGACAGGTACAAGACTTCCTTCCAGTGGGGTGGGAAATCTTACGCCTTCTGCAGACTACCATTCGGTTATCGATGCTCGGGGAATATATTCTCGCGCGTCGTAAACACAATTCTCGACTCAAGCCCCACCAGGAAAAAGATGCTTTCTTATATCGATGACATAGTGTGTTTTGGGAAGACTTTCAGCTGCTATTACAACACTCTCCGAAACCTATTCATCGCGCTCCGCAAGTTTAACGCTAAACTCAAGGGCGAAAAGTGCTCTTTCCTACAATCCGAAGCTCACTTTTTGGGCCGAATCATCAACGAAGATGGAATCAAACCGGACCCTGCGCAAGTCTCCGCTCTTCGTCAGATGAAACCCCCACGCTCCCAAAAGGAGTTAGCTTCATTAATCGGGTCATTGAATTGGATCCGAGGTTTTCTAGAAACGAAAATGGGCGAAGCTATTTCATCCGGTTGCTTCTCGAGCAGAATGAAGCCCATAAACGATGTTCGAAATTCGGCGAACGAAACAAATTGTTTCAAGTGGACCAAAGAAGCGGATTTGGCGCTCAAGGAAATTCAACGACGACTCTCCGAGACTCCAGTCATAAGTTTTCCTAACTTTGACGAGTCTTTTCATCTCTACACAGACGCGAGCCTGTACGCAGCGGGTGGCGTCCTGCTACAAGAGTATGGCGGGAGAGTGCACCTAGTAAGCGCGATTTCCCACACCTTCAACAAAGCTGAAAGAAAATGGAACACTTCAGAAAAGGAAATGTTTAGCATTGTCTGGTGCTGCGAGCGACTGGAAAAGCTCCTGAAAGGTAGATTCTTTCAGATTCACACAGACCACCGATCTTTGATCTTCCTACACAAAAAGAAGTTCAAGAATTCTAAAATAAGCCGATGGCAAAGCCGATTGGAAGAATTCGATTTTCACATTGTCTACATCAAGGGATCAGAAAATCAATTCGCCGACTTTATGAGCCGCAGACCTGGCGAGGACGACAAATCACTTGGATACGACTCCGAGTTTCCCGTTGGTCGCGAGTACGAAATCGACAAGAATTCACCAGTACGTGTCTTCGTCCCTTTCTGGAACGAAAATCAGTTTCCGGAGAAAATCACTTTATCAGAGGTGAAGATACATAAGGTAAACGTCAAGGCTATCGCGGCGCCAATGGAGATTCCGTTGGTGTCAGCGAATTATAATAACATTCTGGACTATCAAAGGGAGGACTCTGCTCTGAGTGCAATCATCACTTTTCTGGAATCTGGTAAGGAGCCACTGGACATAAAATCGCTGGTGAAGGACTCCGACCACCGACAATCGTCTCTACTCAAGATGGAAAAAGCTCTGTTCCTGGATAACACTACCGGGTGCTTGATGTGTCAATTCAAATCTGGCGCGCGGGCGGTGGTACCGGAAGCGGTAAAAAGTCACTTTCTCTTTCTAGCTCACGACTTGTCCGGTCATCTGGGCGAGCCGCGGACTTTAGAGCGATTAGAGGACGTTTGGTGGCCTTCATTTCAAGACGATGTTTCTAACTACGTCCACAGCTGCGTCCCTTGCCTACGCAGAAAAGGATCTGCTGGAACTCGTACCAAACCGCCACTTGGAACCCTTCGTCGTGGAAAAACAGCTGGCGAATCGATTCAGATCGATTTCGCTTGTATGCCTCCCGCTGGCGGATTCAAGTATTATTTGGTGGTGGCGGACACTTTCTCTCGCTACACTTGGTGCATTCCGACACGGTCCGACACTGCTATCTGCGCCGCAAAAGCGCTCATCTACAAGGTCTTCCTTCCCATGGATTTCTTGCCGAAACATCTACACAGTGACAGAGGTACCCACTTCTGCGCAAGCGTGATTGACGAAATGTGTAAGCTTAACCAGATAAAACATACAATAAGTACCGCATTTCACCCTCAATCAAACGCTTTCGCAGAAAGAGCGAATCGGACTATCAAAAACAGTCTATTCTGCATGGTCAACTCATCTTCCGGTCGAAAAACTTGGGCCGACTGCGTTCCCCACGTGATGCGCGCGCTCAATAGTGTGAAAAACAAAAGCACGAAAATTTCACCGCGAGAAGTTTGGTTTGGCCGAAAAAGTACTTTCACCCACTCTACTGGCGCAGAAATGACAGCGGAAACACCTCAGGTGTTTGGTCTCAATGTGGGAGCTTTAGCGAAATCGGCGGAAGCCATTGTGAAAACTGCGATGGAAGCTGCTGACCGAGCCATGGAGCACAGGCTGAAAAACGAGCCTAAGCCGAGACCAATCCCCGCTGGCGCTGTCGTGTACATTAAGCGAGAAAACCTGACCGACGCTAAAAGCAAGAAGGAACGCTGGGTAGGTCCCCTGAAAGCCGTTTCGAGCAACGACTGGGTCGTCATGGTCGAAGATAAAAAAGGACAACGTGATTTCATCCATCGAGAACACGTGGTTCACGCCGCAGAACGAAATCACGACTTACGCTGGATTGATTACTACGAGGCCGAGTACGTATTCCCACATTTAACCGAAATCGTTAAGTCGAAAGTCCCACAAAAATCGCCTGTTCCTACTTCCAAACCGATGGAAAAGTCCGGGTCGAAGTCGCATGGGGGGAGGAAATCTTCTCAGGTCGCGTCGACTCCGATGGTTGCTATGGAAAAACCGCCAAGATCATCTCTATCACCTATTTTGGAAAGTAGACGCCGATTGGACATGGAAAATCTGGGAGATACAACCGCTACATCTATTTTGGACTCGTCGGTAGCTCCAGCCGAGCCGTCAGATCGCTGGTACTCTGGTGGTACTCTTTATGAAACTGCCGAGGACATGTCAGCTGATGCTACAGTGATTTCGGAGGTTGCTGCGCCCGACAATAGCCATATGTCAGTCGATAAACATAATTCAACAGTAGTTGAGGGCTCAGCAACTGAAAACAGCAAGAAAAGAACCCGTCCAAAGTCTTCACCAGATCGTCAATACTCAGCCGGCGCCGATCCGAATGCGACTTTAACCGAAGTTGGAGCAGCTCATCTCCCGAAACATACAAAACGAGCACACCGTGAAACGAGGCCCGTCGAACCTCTAAACATCGGCACAAACTCGGGTCAGTCATACGACTAAGCGCAAGTACTGCCCCACTCAGGTCCCCTATTCATCGACCGGGGCCTGAAAAGGTACGGAAATTATCACAGTTTACCGTCGCCGACGTATTTTGAGTTCTTCTACATGTGCAGCTACTCCTTCATGTCATCACCGCTCGGACATCACGAAAACTTCGCATCTGATTCAAGCTTTTTCCCAAAAAAGGGTTTTTTAACGCGAATCAGACTGCCTCGACGTTTCGAACCTGCCATGTTACTCATCTTACGCTTATACTCCTGCAAAAATCACACACTTTGGCCTTAGAGGACGTTTCAGTCTCATGGGGGGTATTGGGATCTTAGATTCGTTAGACTCCCTCGTCCCCTAAGGTCACTTGCTTATCTAGATCGAGCTTTGCTCGGTCGCCGCCGTGTATTTCTCTTCATTCGGTAATTCTCGCAGTTCGTGAATTAACCTCTATTTTACTCCAGCTCGAAATACAGACGTCAAAGATACTTTACTCGTTTTCTTCCTTCGTCCAGATATAGAGAGCAGGCAAACTACGCTAGAAGTGGGAGATTCAGCAGAAGCTAGGATCCCTTCACAATTCAAAAGAAAATCTATGGATAAGGCCTCGTTTGCGGAAACATTAGCTGCGGGAGATGCACACAAGAGCACGCTCAGGAGCATTTCTAGGACACATCTTCGACAATCGAGTTTGGGACTACGCTCGAGATTATTTCGTCCATCGACTGGTTACGAACGAAAGCTCCGAGAAAATCGTAGGGACGAAGGACAATTCGAAAGATTTGGAAGCAAAGATTCAAACCGAGTGATTGAAACTCTACACTGTAGAGTCTACAGCGTTCAGTTAGAGGAGCAGCGAAAATACTGGGAAGAAAAGTTGGAAGTAAATGGCCTTTGCGAACGAAGCTGCCCGCCACCCCGAAAAACGACTTCGATCGGTGACGGAAAAAGCAGTCAAGGCGTTCACGGAGTTGCAGAATGAGCGCTCGATGACTCGTAGCATGGTCGAGACGAGAACCGCGCAAGGTAAAAGAATTTAATCCTTTTAATAATTTCCAGCGTGACTTCAGCGCACGTTTTCACCAGCTTCCTTGCGGCTCGGCTTCGGATGAGCTCGAATTCAATATGAGCATTCTCGACCTTGCTGTCATCGGAAGAAAACCGTTTTCAAGTTCAAAGATAACTTTTAAACGATATAAAGATGACCAAGAAATGCTAGAGAAGCCTTTCAAAGCAAAAGGAAAGCACAGTTCTCTTCATTTAGGTACGATTTTCGTTTTTCCCTATTTGGTTATAATTTTTTATCCTTTCTAGCCTGTAACCAACAAAAGAGAGGCCATGTTCTGAAGAAAATAATCAATCTCTATGCAAGATATGGCTTTAAAGCCGAGCACAACATGTCCACAATTGCTTGGCTACTTGACGATGGCGGGGAATTTGCCGATCCAAAAGAACCTCTTATAGGTACAGTCAAAAATCAAGAAGCGAAAATTGCGAAAATTGCGAAAGAGTTTCAAAGGCGATGAGCGGAGAAACTTCACAAATTTGAGTCCTTCCTGCTTGGGCTCGACAAAGCTAGCGAAAAGTACGATCAAATGGAGGAACAAGATTTCGCGGAAAGTGACGATCCGGATTTGAAGGAGGCATTCAAGATCTGGAAGAGTCAGCGGAAATTTGCCTCGCCGGAAGCACAAGGCCAGTTCGCAATTTTTCTTGTAAAATTACAGTTTCAAATTTCAATTTTGCGAACTCAAATAGTGGAGTCTATAATAGAGCGTCTATTTAAAGTTCAGCGATAGCAGTTCTGAAAGAAATATTCAAAGAGTTCTCTCCTGCTTCTTAATAACTAATAAACGAAGTTTTCAAATCTTAGACTAAATTCATCTTTCTGCAAATAAAGGAATTGAATTCTCGTTAATAACGAGTCGTTATGCTTGCGGCTTGCTGTTCGGAAACTCGCTGTTTCGGCCGGTCCAAGGGCAGCTAGATTTCCCATTCGCGTATTCGTTCAGCTTTTCTCGCATTAAGTTGAACATGAAGTTGCAGAAGTCCTCGTCGACGCCGATTGAGCGGTAGAACACGGATTGCTTCATGAAAAGATCATATCATGTCAGACGCTCCAGCTCTAGGAGGAATTTAAGACCTTGCAAGTTCGCTTAAATTCAAGAAGTCCTCGTAAATATCCTTGTTGACTTTCTCGTAGAAGCGAATGATGATGTAGGCGAGGTCGAAGGCTCTAGTGCCTGCTCTTGCTACCGCTTCAGAATCCTCGCGTCCTCGAGCTCTTTCTCTGATGAGATGAGATGCTTGATTGTGATTAACAAAATGCTCAGCGGGACTGATTTTCAATTGAAAAGCCAAGAATTCCGTTAGTTGAAGACCAAATCGATGACTTTGAAAATGTTTAGTCGATGTGATTTTTGAGTATTCAAATTCTCCTCACGTGGACGAAGAAGTACTCAAATGATCGTCTGACATTCTCTTCAAGCTGTTATTTTGAAAATATACTTTTTTTCATTTTACAAAAGCAAATCTTGAAATCAAAGAAGAAAACTCCTGTTTTTTCGAGGTAAAAAATTAGTCAAGAGCAGTTGTAAATGAGGTGAAAGACGCATGTTTATTTGAATACAAAACAAACTTTATTCTTTTTGTCGAACCCGTCTTTCGAACTGCAGTTTTGATTTATCAGTTTCCCAGATTTGGCAGAATAGGTACCGGGCTTCAAGCAAACAAGTCCTTATTCCCAAGCGTTTTTAACGGTTAGCTGTATCAGTGCAAAATGCCCTCAATCCGCAAAGTCATCACTGTCTTCTTCTCTCATGCCACGATTGGAGTCGCTGTTCTCGTCGCCAAGCTCTTCTTTGATGAGCATCAAAGAAAAAAAAGGGACAAGGAACTGAGAAAGAAAATGAGCAAAGGTAAGTTAAGGGCTCGAATTTTCTTCTACAACGAATATTCAGAACTCCTAGACACGCTGGAAAAGACGGAGCCGAACCAGAAGAGAGAGTTCAAATTCTGTCGTGAAGAAAATACGATCCGGAGAGCAAGCGCCACCAGATCTTATCCAACGAGCGAAATCGACACTGAAGTCGTCCCAGATGATCATTTATCAAGACTTCTACGACGAAGATAGCTTTGATTCCGCCATAAGCAATTCAACAAAAAGCGTCGACGAGGAGCTGAAATTCTGCGACTTGGCAGCGTCATCGACTTTGGACTGTTACGACGACGTCGTGAAAAAATCATCTTTGAACGGACTCTTCAATTTGTTGGAACAAGTTTTGATTGCCGAGATATTCCAGGAAATCATCTCGTGTCTTGAGGAATTCCTCTTACGCGCTCGGATTGAAGAACAGCTGGTAAGTCCATTTCAAAGCTCCGAAATTCAAGTCGTCTTTAGCTCGAAATCGCGGACGGAAGGCGCGAGCTTGATGAAAGTGGTCGTCAGCTTGAGCGAACAAAACCTCGGCCAAGAGCTGCTCCAGAGATCGGAAATGACGCTGGAATGGACTGAACGGCTTCTCGAGGAAAAATAAGGAAGAAAAGAGATTCAATCCGCTGCCTCTATGCGGTGAATAACATGATCGAAGAGACGGATTGGACTCTTCGCCGCAAGAAATCAAGTAAGCCCAAACTTCACAACCGCGGAGTCGCCCTCTTTTGGGTCTTCAAAGTGAATTCGAAGATTTTTCAAGGCGAGGAGAGTAGCGAGCGTGCTCAGTCCAATAACCGCGTCGTAGTATTTCGACTCTCCAATGCGCATGACCATTTTCTGGTAAAAGGTCCAGGAAGGCCAGAGAGACCAGACACTCGCTCGAGAAGAGAAAAGGGGATGATGATCGATGCAGCTGGAAATCACGCTTTCACAAAATCTGGCGAAGAAATCAAGGAAGACTTTTTTTGAAACTTATTCATGAAAACGCGTTCCTGAAATAAAACCAACGAGAACAGGATTTGAAATGTAGTTGACGACAGCGCCCAGATCGAAAATTCCGAGAAGAAGAATGATCGCTCCGGAGCAGAAACAGAGCAAGTTCGCCAATCTCGGGTCCGATTCAGATCTGAAAAGCGCCGTTTTCGAAGTCTCAAGGGAAGGATTGTTACGTGACGGCAGCCATCGGAATCCACGTTTCTTGGACCCACGGCGAGATCTTTCGATCTGCCCATAAAGGTGTAGACGATGGCTGAAGAGAGGAGCTCATAATGTTGTTGCTTGTTGTGGAAATGAAACGATCCAAAGTTCATGGAAAGTGAAAATCAACAAGAAAACACCCCTTTTCCATAAATAGAAATAGCTTGACCGGTAGGTCTTTTGTGGCTGCTTAGTGCATTTACTCTCCTTTTGTGGTCGACAAATATTCCTACGAAACCATTTTCTTCGTTGATAAGCTCAGTCACATTTCAATCTTTAATCTTAATTTTAATGGCACACAGCGTTTCCGACTGAACTTTTTTGTTTAAGATTAGGCGAACGCGTATTTCTTACCATAAATAAGGACAGTACTATCAACATTAAAGAGTTCCAGTAGCTGATGTTCTTTCACAGCGAGGCCTCGGAAGAAGTCAAAAAGACCTGTCAGGAAAAAACTGCTTTATTCCTTTCGTTGATCAGTTTTTACGTCAAATAATATATAAATTGCACGATTTGGATGACGGCGTCGATGAGGACTGGAAGGAGTTCAGAACTGTTGCAAGACTTATTCGGGGAAAAGACGACAAGAAGCAGTCGAACGAACTAGAGGAGCAAATCAAGAGCGAGTTCAAAGAAATAGCGGTTTGCGAACTGAAAGTGATTTTTTGTAATTCTTCAGGGCTCCGATGGAAAAATCTCTAAAGTGTAGTTTCTACCAAGCAGCTTCACTACCAGCTGTGAAATGTACAAACTTCAGATCCACGCGAAAATGAGGAGAAAAATCGGGAATCAATAGAAAAATTCGATGTTTTTTTCAAATCTTTTCAATCTTTATTTCAGGGATAAATCCTTTTAAATTCTTTACTAAACTGTGGGTTGAATTCAGATACTAGGCTCTAGAATCGAAATTTGTAACTCCTAATTGAGAATTTGACTTTCCACGAACGCGCGAATCTAATTGGCCGAGGCGCGTCAGTTGAGAATCCAGTCGGGCGAAATCGCGCGCGAAAAAATTTTTCCGAGACGCAGCTGCCAATTTCGCGAATTACGAATTGTATTTTATCGATCGAGAATTTCGAGAGGAGAAAAGAGAGAGAGAGAAGAATCAGACAATGTCAGAAGATCGATTTTACCGGGCGAAAGGGCCGCAAAATGTAAGATTTCTATTTTTAATTCAAATTGATTATTCGAAATTATTAACCTTCTTTATTCCAGAGCCGTGAAAAGTCAAATGACCTGGACAACCTGGCGGAGCAATTCTCAAAGTTCTCCGTGGCAAAACCGCGAAAAGAAGAACATCAGGAGCCAAAGAGTTACCAGCACGATCACGATCGAGAAGTTCGGCTTCATCATTCTGGAGATTCCGGATCTGCCAAGGACCAGAATCACAACGACGATTATGAAAAGTACAGGCATCAGTTCAAGAATTCAAACAGGTAAGTAAAATATTGTTTTTCATGAAAAGCCGCGTTAAAAACGAAGCTGCGATGCGAATCAATTCAAATCCGCTTTTTGGGCTCGGCAACCTAATTAGAAAACCTGAGTCAGGGTTCATAAAGAGTAAAATGAAAAGGCGCGAAGCGGCTTTTTTAAAAACAAAGCCGCGAAGCGGCTTCGCTAGTTAAAAAATTCATTGAGTTGATTATTTTGGCGAAGCGGCTTTTCATTTTATTCTTTTAGAACCCTGACTCAGGTTTTCTACTCAGGTTGCCGAGCCCAGTCCGCTTTAGAGCGCGGCTTTTCGGTCTTTTTCAAGAAGCGGCAAGCGGCCTTTCAGTTCTCAGAATAATTCTAGAGATATCTTAATCATTTCTTATTTCAGAGGTCGTAGCGGAAATCGCGGTCAACGAGGTCGTCTGCAAAACAACCACATTCGCCAGAGCCACGAAGATCAAGACCAAAATCGTCAACATCGAAATCCTCGAAATGAAAATTGGAAGAATCGAATCCAGAACGGCGACCACGATCACTCCTACAACGGCGAAAATAGCCAAAACTACGAAAACAAGACGAAACAGAACAAAAGCGTCAAAATGGTCAAGGGGCGAAATACAGTCGACTTCAAGCCAAGCTACAAGCCGCCAGATCTCCGATTGGTCCCTGCTCCTGTTCACTGGACTTCCTACAAACGCCCTTACAACCATAGGTAGGGAGAAAAGAGCGCTACTAGAATTATTCAACAGAGAAATCGATCGATTATTTCGTCCTTCTCTTTCTCGAGCAATATTTCTGGGACAATAATAGAGACTTTTAATTAAAATTGAGATTAGGGATGTCGTCGTTGTAAATGGCCTATTCGGGGATGAAAACGACATGTCCATTTACAATAGTCTACTTGATGAGATTCAAAACTCCGGCATCGATCAAGGTAAAAATTTAACTCACCATCGAAACAAGGTCATTTTTGTTGAAATTACGAAAAGACAAAATCTCTCATAATTCGTTTTAGATAAACTACTTGTTAAATGGCACAACGACTCCCACTTGATCGCCGATGATAAACAAGGAAATTGGAAGAAGAGGTGTCCCACCTTCCTCAAAGTTGTGAAGAAAATGACAGAGTACTTCAAAATGGACGTGAAAGCGACGCGCTTCAACTGGTACAGAAATTCGAGCGAGTGGAAACCGTTTCACCACGATGCAGCTGCTGTAAAGGTAATTTTAATTAAAAAGGGGAAGAGGCGGATTGACCTTTCTTAAAGCGGTTTCATCCTTCACTCGCTATTTATCAAAGCTTTATTATCCTTTTCTATTATTCAGGCGGACAAGGCGAAGACGCAGAACCTCACCATTGCAGTCAGCTTCGGCATGGAGCGCGAAGCTGCCTTTGAACACGCCAAGGAACTGTTCCTCAGATTTTGAGAAAGAGAGAGAAAGAAGAGGCTTGGAAACCTGTGAAAAAACCTGAGTCATGCCCTAAGTCAGGGTCTGAAATGTTCAGAATTTGTTGAAAAAGCTGCTACGTGGCTTTTCATCTGAGATTTTTAAACCCTGTCAGTTTTTTTACACAGGCTTCCAAGTCTAGCTCGGCTTTTCCATTGATAGGTACTCCTAGTTCTCTTCCTTCATGGAACAGTTGAAAAGACAAAAACGACGATCTCCGTGCCCCAGTACAACGGCACCATCTACACCTTCGGCAAAGAAGTGAATGTCGAATGGCGCCACGGAATCCCGGCAGTCCACCCGAACAATTTCAAAGACGAAGGGCGCATTTCAATCATCGCCTGGGGTTGGATTGACGATATGATCGAAGACTAATTATTTTTACTCCTTTTCTGCCCCCTTTTATCTGAAATATCTTTGCTTAGACAAAAGCTGTCTAAAATGCCAGTTCTGCTAAAATTGTTCCGAACGAAAAACTTCCTATTTTCCCCTTTTAGTTAAAATTTCTGCCCAAAAGTCACTGACCAAGTTGAAACTTGAAAGCCCCTAACTCTTTCCTCCCTTCAGATGATCAGTTGGAAATCGTACACGGCGCTAGAATCAAATTCGAAAATATGAAGAAAGAGATCCAAGTCGAGGTCTTTGGCGCAGAGTCGAAGATCCTCGAGGTCGAAAAGAAGGCGACAGGGCAAAAGCTGTTCGATTTGATGTGCGACTCACTGGACATTCGCGAGAAAGAATACTTTGGCTTGTATATTTCCCTGAAAAACGACCAAAGAAAGTGGATCAGGTATTCTTCTTTGTTTTGAAGAGATTGGAGATGTTTTTGAAGGCTGGATAAAGAAATAAGAAGGCAGCTAAAAGAGCCGTGGCTGGTGAAGTTTTGCGTGAAGCTCTACCCGCCAGATCCGGCCTATTTGGTCGAGGAAATCACCAGATTGTACATGTATCGCCAACTGAGGGACGATATTGCAAAGGGACGACTTCTCGCTTCATTTGTTACGCATGCATTGCTAGGAAAGGGCTTTACAGAATAAAACATAACGATTAAATAAGCTAGAAATGTCGTATCTTCCTTGATTCAGCTCTCATTGAAGAAGTGAGACAAGAGCACTAGAATCAAGTAAAAAGGATCGAAGATAGATTCAAACACTGATGAAGCCCTGAAAAAGGTTCGCTAGCAGCTCAAGCTGAACTAGGCGATGCTCCTGTTCAGTACACTCAAAAAGATCACAACGCCCTCGTCTCGCTCAAACTCGCTCCAAACGTTTCCGAAAACTTAATGCAACGAATATCCGACCTTCACGTGGCTCACAATGGATTAAAGACTTCAAAAGCGGAGCTGAAGTATTTGGAAACTGCTTCGAAATTACCGCTTTATGGGTAGTTCTTTGATTTCGCTGGCGAAATTGACCGTTTTTAGGCTTCATCAATTTCACGTCCGGGACGCGGAAAATACGGATCTTGTCCTGGCCTGCCATTTTGGCGGAATTTACATCATGCAAAACAGTAAGAGTAACCCCTTCTCCACCGTTTCCATCTGATTTCTAGCGATCTTGTTGAACAGATTCGCCTGGCCAACGATAATCGAGCTCAGCTACAAGCGAGATATCTTCTATGTCAAAGTACGAGCTGGAATAGTGAACAACTTGGAGACGAAAATCGGCTTTATTTGCCCATCCACAGGTTTGTTCTTCCATAAAGACGCGTCGTAAATGGCCAATCTAAGGAGTGGCGAAGCGAATCTGGCTGATTGGAATCGACCATCATCACTTTTTCCGCGTTGAAACGACGCGAAATACAATCAAGGGCCGAAAATTCCAGCGAACGCAGGCAGAACTCATCGACCAAGTCGGCAAGCTCAAGGTAGACCTCCCTTATCTCCCTCATCTACCTCTCCTTAGCGGTCGAATACGCACTCGCTTGATCGAGCCCGTTCTCTGCGAGCTTCGCGACTGTTCGTCTCTTCCGACAACTTGACAAACGGCGTCAGCCCTGTCAAAAAGACGCCGCTAAAGACGATCAATTCCAACGCCTCAAACACGCTTTCTTCTGGCCCTACTTCTTCCGCGACGAGTCCGACGCCTCCTGCCAAGCCGTTGCGAAGATCGAGGATGAATCTAACGGTAGGAATGGCTCATTTCTGCCGGAAAATGAAAATATTTTGTAGAACGCAACGTCGGAAAAGAGCATCTCTGACAATCCAAGTTCAAATAGCGCAGTAATCTATGGAAGAAATACTATAATTGGAACAGATGAGCAAGGGCTTGACTGTACTGCCATGACAGGTAATTCTTTATCTTCCGCAGCAAAATCATTATCTCTTCACTTCAGAGCTTCCGACTTCGATTGAAACCGAAAGCGAAAGTCTCTTGCCGAAACGAGCCATCTCTTTTTACGAGGAATCTTCAACCGAAGAGGTAACCATTCCATCATCATTTCTAGCGCACTGCTTACCTTCTTTTCAAGTCATCAACGCTGGAAAAAGCGTCCCGAAAACTCTCCTCTCAGCAGCGTTCGCGATCGTTGATGCAGCTCAGAAGAAACTTCATGGACAAATGATGATTTTGTGACTTTGAATCTTAATTATAACTCCCTGCCTGTCTATTTTTGTAAATCTGCTCCTCTCTTTCTCTTCTTTTTCAACTCAAAGTACTCATTCCTGAAAAGAATATCTTCAGATTCTTCATTTTTTCTCGCGCATCTTCAAAATTCAATTCTTGAAAACAAAATCTTATTAGTGCCTCCCCTAGTTTAATCGGAAAATCGGTATTTTTGTTTGACCATTAACTTAAAGAATGTCAGGTTTCGTCTTCCCAACGGGGCTGAATCTGTTAGACAAGAAAACGAAAGAAATTGTCAACTCGAAAAGCTCTTCTTCCGGAACTTCCAATCCCTTCTGCCCCGAGATTTCGAATCGGAGAAGGGTCGTTGCTAAATCAGGAACGGCCTTTTATAATTGCTGGGATAGAGAAGCCGCTTGCGGCTACGAAACGGGAAATGGTTAGCCGCGAAAAGCGCGGCTTTGTCATTGTTTCTTTGATTTCTCTCTATATATGAATATTCAAAAAGACCTTAAAAGACGAAAAACTACTTGTTCCAGATGCCAAGCGTCGCGAACGATACAACCAAGAAAAAGAAGACCGAGTCAAGTTCTTCAAAGACGGCAACTCGCGAAGCTTCGAAGTCCAAGGCGATAATATAAAAGGCCGTTTGTTGAATTACGAAGCGCACCAGCAAGAAGAACTCAGAAATCAAATTGTTAAAAGCATCGTTATCTCCGAAAAGGTAGAAAAGTCAATCATTTTTAACGGCCTTAAAATTATCTTCAGAAAAAGCGAAAGGAAGAGGCAAAAGCAAAAGTCGAAAGGGCCAAGAGTTCGACAAAACCCACCGCCGTCATGATCAGAGGACTCCGCGAAAAGACCTTCAGAAAAGATTTTATAAGAAGTCACATGGAAAAATTTGGAGAAATCGTCAAGATATCCTCAGGTTTGATCCTCAACGAATTCTTTGGTAACACTTTTCTTTAGTTCAAGGCCATGCAAGAGCAGTAATGGTTCGATTTGCCGAGTATAAAAGCGCGCTCAAAGTTCATAAGCAGTTCAACAACCCGGAAATCAAGGTATTTTTCTCTTTCCGAGGCTGTAGGCCGAGGGAGGGGCGAAGTTCTCCTCGGGGAGGGACCCTCCCCTTTGAATTCGGATGGCTTCAACACCTTCCTCGGCCTGCGGTTATAGGTAGAGTCGTATGAATAGCAGTACATCCTTCATCATCTTTCATTGATCAATTCCGCTTTCAGATCTTCCCGCGCTTCCCCAACGCCGAGATCAAACTAGTCAAGTCCGAAAGCAAACGTCAACTGCCACGCGTCCCTGCCTTTGCTCCCGTTCCCGATACCCCCGTCATGTCCCCTGCTCCTTCTCCTGCCTCCTTCACTAGTTTTCAATAGTTCCTTTTTTTCCTAAATGTTCCTTTTTCTTCTTTTTCTGTAAAAAAAAATCCTGCATGGTGCAATTTTCTCACTTTATTTCAAATTCTGTAGTTCCGAAAAAATAAATGATAAAGGTATATTTTTCAAAATTTACTGAAAAAGAGACGAGGTCCCTTTTGAGCGTGTTTCTTTCATTTTAGCATTTTGGTTTATTTCAATTTGAATTTTTCATATTTTCATGTTTATTCTTCTTTTTTGAACGCGTTTTTTAAGGCAAAAGTAAGTAGAGTTTTTCAGGAATGTAATTTCAAGACGCAAAAATTTTAAATTTGAGGAGCCAAAATGTACAGATACGATTTTATCGATTTGGAAATAATAGAACATGTTGAGAAATTAAGAATTTTAAGGGTAGGTTCATTTGTTCATGATTTTTTGGAAAATACAGGTCAAGAGCTCAATTTTGATAATAAGATAAGAATTTTTGGGTTTTATTCTGGACTAGAATCACTTTTGAATAGAGTTTTCTTAAGGGGTAGCAGTGGAAGCTCGGAAAGAGTGAGGAAAGTGAATGTTCATTATCATCGTTGTTGGTTCTTTTTGAAATACTGTGATGAATAAGTAGAATACTGTATAAGGTGAGGAGAAGAAACTTGTGCGTGAGTTGGCTTTTTGAATTTTTAGAGCAGGTTGCATTTCTTCGGCTTCTTTTTCTTCTTGTTTTTGGCTGATTAGTTGGTTTTAAAATTAGTTAACTCAAAAAATTTGGCTAGGGATAAGTGAGTGTATTAGTAAGTTGGTTAGTTCACAAGATTATACATTTCTTTCGTTTCTTTTCCTTTTTAACGGCTAATCTAGCTTTAAAAGACTTCCCCCGAGTCCGCAGGCCGAGGAAAGGGGGCGGATTCCCCCTCCTTTTAGTTGAAGAAAGGCCCCCTCAAAGGCTCATACTGTGGGTGGAGGCCCCCCTCTTGTAATGCTTTCAGTATATTTCCCCAGATAAAGCTCTAAGGGGGGAGTGGGAGCCTTTAAGGGGGGTCTTCACTGAAATCAAAAATAAGGGGAGGGGGGCTTCGCCCCCTTTTCCTCGGCCTTCGGCCTCGGGTCTACTATGCTTGAAGACTCTTTTTTATGAAAATAATTAAGCAGCCGTTCCGTTGGTGGTGGATATAAAACAGCTCGAATGGTTTCGTCGAAGAGTTGCTTGAGTCCCTTCTGCGTCAGCGCCGAGCACTCAAGATACCTCACCGCTCCAATTTCTTTCGCCAGCGATTGACCCTAAATAAATCATTTACAAACCCAGACCCGATCAATTGACGAACCTGTAGCTCTGTGATAACGTTGAGTTTCTTCTCTCTTAGTTTGTTGATTGTGTCTGGATCTTCGCGCAGATCTGTCTTTGTGCCGACCAGGATCACTGGCGTGTTTGGGCAGTGATGCTTCACTTCGGGATACCATTTTCCTTTTACGTTCTCGTGAGAGGCCGGAGAAACAACTGAATTTGAAAGTTTAGTTATTTTACTTGATTTCGAAGTCAAAAAAACGAGAAATCGCTTGCGGCTTCGACTAAATCAATCAAGAGACGCGCTTAGCGCGGCTTCTTTATTCCTCTTTACGCTGGGTGACGGGCGGCGACGTTCTGCCAGAACGGCGTTCTGCAAATACAGAACGGCGTTCTGCAAATGCAGAATGGCGTTCTGCATAAGGATTTTTTTTTCCGATGTAACTTGATTCTTATCAGATTTAACGCATTCAGCGAAGCTTAAAGAGTAACTCCTGACTTAAGAAATTCTGAGATTTCCTTTAAGACAGGCGCGAAGCGCATATATTTTCTGAGTGCAGAACGCCGTTCTGTATTTACAGAACGCCATTCTGCATTTGCAGAACGCCGTTCTGCTGCAGAACGTGGCCGCCCTACACCCTTTACGCTTGAAGCTGCAGGCGGCTTCTCGGCCGCTTTGAAAAAAGATAAAGAGAAAAAACCGTCTCTTGATTGTTTTACTCGAAGCCGCGAACGGCTTCACGATTCCAGCAAAGATGTGTTTCGTACCTGAGAAACAAATGAGAAAAATATCAGTCTGTGGATAACTGAGAGGGCGCAATCTGTCGTAGTCTTCTTGTCCCGCTGTATCCCAAAGGCCTAAAAAGAAATCAAGAATTGTAAAACAATAAAGAAGCATTACCTAGATTAACTGGTGTATTATCAATAAGAACGTTTGCTGAAAAATTGTCAAAGACTGTAGGTATGTATTCTCCCGGGAAGGCGTTTGTCGTGTAGGATATCAGTAGACAGGTCTTTCCCACTGCGCCGTCGCCAACGACCACGCATTTTATTGGCTGAAAAAAGGGGGTTAGGAACTTCTTATCGGATGGGATTGAAAATTTGATTGGGATTTTGATTTATTTTTATCGTAAAATTCAAAACCTTATTAAATTGAGGCTCTTATTGGTTTCAATCAAGATTCTTGCTTTCTGATTGGTCATTTAGAAATATTAATGCTTCTTATTGGTCGAAAGCCCTTATCATAGAAATGCGATGTTTTTGGCTTGTTTTAAAACTGCTTTATAAGCACATATTAATTTGAAGAAATTTGATTGGATAAGAATCGAATCTAAGCATTTTTATTGGTCAGTTTAATAGTTTACCTGCATTTTGAGATTTTTCTTTCAAAAAGCCCTTCTCTCTTCCTTCTCAATTTTCACGATTTTCGAAACTTCATAAAGAAATAAAAATAATCTGAAAAGAAACAATTTTGTTAGAATCCGCCAAAAACAGTATTAAAAACAAGCAGTGCTCGCTGGCCATGATCGAGGCGCTTTTCGGTAAATAGCGATTGGAAAATCGATAACGCTGAATAAAATGGATTCCAACTGATGGAAAAAAGAGGCATTCAGGGGAAAATGAGGGGGTAATCGTCTGAGTATGAGCTTTTTCGGAGAAGATGAGTCAGAAGTAGATCATTTTTGATATAAAGAAGGGTTGAAAAGAGGTTCACAAATACATAAATCAGCTTCAAAATAATTCGATATATTTCTTTAATCTTCGCGGCAAAAATTAATCATTCGATGAGTTGCTTCTCATTGTTCTCTAAGTTTCTTAATCTCGCCGGGTTCTCAAGAAACACAGTACAAAAACTTAGCTACGGAAACAATAACAGACTTTTTATTCTTTCCGAAAATCATCGAAAAGGTCAAAGCGATCTTTTTTGTCTCTTTTTTGTTGAAATCAACGAAGAGCGAAAAGCAATTTTGCGATCAGATTTGAATCTTGGGAAAGTGATTCTGCCGTTCTCATTCAATATTTGACGATTAGCCAGTTTGGTACGTCATTATTGAATTTCAAAGAGTCGGCGATCTCAAAAATCATTAATGAAAAGCCTCGTAGCGGCTTTTTTGGAAACGAAGCCGCTTCAAATGACCCTTTCTGTTGATATTTTAATTCTTTTTTGCGGCTTTGTTTTTTTAAAAAGCCGCTACGCGGCTTTCCATTAATGATATTTTAATTTAGATCCTGACTAAGGCCTCGTAACCTTCATTGAAATGATCTAACAGGAATTTATGTAACAGAGTCTTCTTCTTATATCTCTTTCTTTCTCAAAAAAAGGTAAAAAAGACAATTTCACGGGTGAAATTTTTACGGCGTTTGGTGGCTCTTTTGTTGTTATATTGTGGCGTTCTTTAGATCTCGGCGGAGAAATTTTTTCAGAAAGGAAATTGTTAAAATGCACGGCTCATTGGCCACTATTGGAGGCGGAGAGCGCGCTCCGGCCAATCCTGAGCCAAATTAGTCAAACTGAAGTCTACACTCCGCCCGCTTCCGACGCGTTCCGCCCGAGCCCGAGCGGGGAAAAGCTCTTTTAAATTGAAACAAATAAATTATTCTGTAATTTGATTTTCGAAACTGATTTTCGCGACTGTAATGAACTCGTCTGAGACGTTGATTTAGCGTTAGATTGTCTCATTATTTTTAATTTCAAACTCAAGCAGCTTTTTTTGAGAAATGGAAAGCTTCATTTTCAAAATAAAGATTTTCGTTTTCAAGACAGATTCTCAAGATGGACTGTGGTAGACAATCAAATTCGAAAGATTAATTTGTAGCTTTTTAAGAAAACAAAACAACTAGCAGAGAACTTTCGAAGATCAGCCCTTTTCTTTTCCTAGTCATTTTACGAACGGCTTTCTTTTCAGCAACATTTTATATTAATTAGATAATTTACGAACGCCGTGAAGTTGTCGCTCTTTGTGTCTACAGCTTCATGAATGTTTCCGAAAACGAGAATTTTAATAGAATTTTTTGTCGGAAACAATCCAAGATTTTACGAAATCTTCCTCAAAAAGCCGGCAGTACTCATCCGAGCAGGAACAAATCGACTGCGAAGACTCTCCCGCAACTTCAGCTTTCGCTCTTCTTATCAATAAAACGCTTTTGTCCGGTAGTTTTGTTTATTCAGCAATTCAGTTAATTTCGTTTTCCGAAGGAAGGAAATGCTTCTTTCATGATTTTTTGGAAATTTTCGAAATATTCTTCAACTAAATAAAATTAAAATCCGTTCTGAAAAAAATCTCACAGACCATCTTTTTCTGTGATATTCTCGTCTCTATTTTCGAGGTCCTTTTCAAGATTAAATCCGGCTTCTTCCAGGCTCTTTTTCATTTGTTCCGTCAATGCCGATGCTCGCTCGACCACACGGTCGTAGGCTCCGTCTTTTACCAAGTTTTCCGAGGTCTCCGCGAAAGTCTCTGCTAGGCAAGGCGGGTAAGCTGAGTGGTGCTTGAAAGAACTTACATGCAAACTCTAGAATCTGGCTGAAGCCCTGTTGGACGCAGGCAACGCCTTCCTCGATCGTCATTTTCTCGCTGTGGCATTCTCTTGGTCGCTCGAAATCGTAGTTCGCGACTTTTTCAAAGATCTGATACATGATTAAAAAATCAATTGAAGCGAATACTTACCTCTTTGAAGTTGCCAGAAGACGAACGAATGATCTTGTCCAAATCTTCAGCCGCTCCATTGAGCACGCGAAAATCTTGAGCTGCAGCGAGACCAGCAAAAAGTCCGAAAAGTTTCATTTCAAAATTTTGCTGATATTGTTTACAAAGTGTTGCCCTGCCTAGACTAGCTTGGTGAAGACATTGTGGACCAACGTGACAAAAAAGGTGACCTTCGTACTTGAAATAAAGAAATGAACCTAAAATAAGAGGTTAGAAAAATCTTAGCTTTTGGCGTTCTTGAATTTCTGTTTGAGATTTAATACCATTGTTCCTTTTTATTCAATTTTCCAGAACATAAAAGTCACAAAGACTCCCAACTCGTCGAATTTGACCTCAAAAAAGCAGAAAAGTCTGAAGCTCAGACTCTGAACTTGAGTGCGAGGTTCAAAGATTGCGCGGCTTATTTCAAGACAACGCACTTGATAATTTTCCTTACTGATCAATTTTCTTCGAAAATGAAGAAAAATTCAAAAATATCAAAGAGAAAATTTTGGACCCTCGCTCGACTGTTCTTGCTAGAAAAGCTGAGAAAGCCGCTGGATTTGGTTCTTCTCTTGACGGTTCCTTCTTTGAGCTCGATTTTGCTTCTCAGTTTCAGGGAATCAATCGGTAAGAAAATTCCCTCGTCCAATCTCTATCTTAATTTTCAGCGAGAGATTACGACACGCCGCAAGTAAACCTCCCGCCAATAATTTCGTCAAAAGTCTATCCCAAACGATTCTCCGTGGTCGACACTCATGAGATCCTCTTCACTCCAGACACTCCTCGTAACTTTGAAATCATCAACAAAACCTGCTCCGACATCGGTCGAAAATTCAGCGGCTACGACTTTTTCGGCAACATTTCTCAAAAGAAAAGAATTGTGCCGAAAGGATTTTCGACAGTTGAAGACATGGAAGAGTACATTCATTCCCGATCGAAAAATAGCACTTTGAATATTTTCCTCGGCGTTCATTTTCATTCAGAAGTTTCTAAAAAGCTAGATTTTACGATTCGAACAGTTCCAACTGCTGGAAAATATCCAATCAAGGGAAATTGGAAGGGCTGGATGGGGCATTTGACCTCTCCGACGATTTTTGGGAAAATGATTACGAACACAATCGGCTCAACTTTGATCGACGATCATTCTCAGTGGTCGCTCTACTACACCGAAGCATTTCTACCCGTGCAGAACTCGATTCAGAAACAGTTTCTAGAGCAAAACGGCGTCAAAAATGATGCTGAACAAATTTTACAGCCGTTTCGACAGTCGGTCAAACTGACTGCGACTTTTGCGGAAATGGCGCGGCAACAACTCCACCTGATTTTCATGATCGGATTTGCGCATTTTGTCCAACACGTGATTCGGACTATCACTCGCCATAGGGAAGAACATCGACTGGATTACCTGTCTCTCGTTGGCGCGTCGCCGAAGGACATCATTCTAGCGCACCACTTCGTCAGTTTGGTTTTTCAATCGATCGCTTCTGCCATCGTTTCCTTCTCGTTGACTGCGAAGATTTCGACCAACGGCGCGATCTTTCCCCACACTTCGTTTTCCGTTATCTGGCTTCTTCTCACTGCTTATGGTTCTTCCTTGATTTTCGTCTGTCACTTTGCTTCGACATTTTTCAAGACGCCAACAACGGCGGCAACAGTGACTTCGGCGATCATTTTCTTCATTTCCGTCCCGCATGGATTTATCTCGACCAGCTGGCGTCTCATGCCATTTCTGCTGAAAATTGCGATCATTCTCAATCCAACAATTTTGCTCGCATTGGGCTGCGACATGATCTGCCATTACGAAGGCAAAAAGATGGCCTTGTCTCTCAATAAGAATTTCTTCAAGAGAATTTTCTTTGAAGATCCACTGGGAATGGTCGATGTTATCTTCTATCTTCTTCTCACGACGCTGTTTTACTTCTACCTCACTCTCAAAATTGAGAACATAAAGAGCAGAAAACTCAACTCCCAGAAGAAAACGGACGCTTTTCGCTTCGAAGTGCAAAATTTATCGAAATTCTACTCTTCTTCCGGTCAAGTCGCCTTGAAAAACGTTTCCTTCAAAACTGAAGAAAAGACAATAACAGTTCTTCTCGGCGAAAATGGATCAGGAAAATCGACGCTGTTGAGCATTCTATGCGGATTTGTTGAGCCCACATCTGGATCAGACCTCATCGGCAGCGGGAATTGCGGATACTGTCCGCAGCACAACATTTTCTTTGAATTTTTGACGGTGAAGGAGCATTTTGAAATCTTCTCCGAACTCTCGGCTGAATCTTCTTTTGACCATGAAGAGATTGAATCCTTGGCAAAAGACGTTCAACTTTCCGAAAAGCTCGAAAACTTTCCGAATCAGCTTTCGGGCGGTATGCTTCGAAAGCTTTCTTTAGGGCTCTCCATCATCGGCCGTCCGAAAAGATTGCTTTTGGACGAACCATCCTCCGGACTTGACCCGGTCTCTAGAAAGGAACTCTGGGGAATATTGAAAAGTTTATCAAGCGCGACTTCTATTCTCATGTCGACTCATTACATGGACGAAGCGGAAAACTTAGCGAACTCGGTGATTTTCTTGAAAGATGGGCAGCTTCCCGAGTCTGGATCGCTCAAAGAAATGATGAAAGACGAACCCTCATTCAGACTGTCCTCATTTTTTGATCCAGTCAATACAGAGAAAGGAAATTGGCAGCTAGAAGAACGAATAAAAAGTTACGAAGTCCTTGAAAAAGCCCTTCAGAAAGCCAAAAAAGTGACGATCAAATTTCGTCAATTCTCCTTACTCAGCTTCGAAAGTGCTTTATTCTTCTGAAAAGAAATCCTTTCATCCTCTTAATGCAGTTTCTCCTCCCGACAGCCGTGATCATCTTGACAGACATCTTCCTCGACAGCAATAGAAGCGCAAGCCCGGAAGCATCAACGGTCAATTTCGACGATGTGCTGAAAACGATCGGAACGGGACTGAACGGAATCGTCCACCTTCCAGACTACGACTTTTCTTTGTTCCCGAACGACTTTTTCCACGCTCCTCCAGCTGCTCTCCTTCATTCTCATCGAACCCTTCTTCAAAAGCAAAGAGCAACTCGAGCATGTTTCTGACCCACAAGCCCTTTGATCTTCCCCAGCCGGAGGGAGACGCGCTCTTTACAGATTCGTTTGTGAAAGGAATGACCGTAGTCTACAACTGTATTTTGGCGATGATGCTGATGATGGCGCCGATTGGAATGAACGCAGTGGAGGAGAGAACAACTGGCTTCAGGCAAATTCAAGCGCATACATCGAACCTGAAAAGGCATCACTTCTGGCTCATCCAGTACGTCACCTGTCTAATACAGTCAGTGCTACTTCTTGTCGCAACGATGGCAGCGACGAGTTTTTCATCAAATCGCCGAATTTTCTCCTCGGACTCGACGAATTCTCGCCCGTCTTTTTCGTCTGCATCCGATTCTTTATTGCCCACATGCCGGTAGCTTTCATCCTCGGCCATCTATCAGAAGACAAAGGCTCCTTCATCGGCCACCACAGCAACGTCAACATCATTTGCACGGTTCTGATGTTCATGTCCGCCACCTGCGCGCAGATCTTCACCGGAAACGAGCAAGAGTCTTCTCTTCTCTTTCAGCTGTATGGAATTCTGCCTTCGTACAACTTCGCGATCGAGCTTTTGAAATCTATTCGTCAAATTCTTTCTCGAAATTATGCATCAGTAAAAAGACCACGGGAGTATCTTTCTTTTGCCAAGCGATACAGATTGATTCGATGAGCGTGGTCAGAATATCTGGCAATTCGTGGATAAGAAAATGGTTGGAGAAAATAAAAGGTTACAAAATCGTTTAATTTTTTAACAACCATGGAAACAGATGCTTTGGTCTTTCGTCTATCTACTGGATGATTCTCTTTTTCCTTGAAAACTGCGATGATGAACTAACACCCATTGAAGAAACGAATTCTGTTCCTAATTCAGAAGAATCCATTCAAATCAAAAATATCACCAAAATCTACAAAGGACGGTCTAAAATTCTTCATTCTTTTATTTTCTCGATTCTTCATTTTGAGACCCTTTAATAGAAAAGCAGCGAAAGAAGGAAGTACTGAAAGATGTTTCTTTCAACCTTCATCGTGGGGAAACCATCTGTCTTCTCGGCTCAAACGGGGCTGGAAAAACAACGCTCTTGAGCATTCTCTGTCAATTAAAGACCCCATCAAGTGGCTTCATTTCGAGATCAGGAAGAATCGGGTATTGCAGACAGCAAGATTGTCTGCTAGACAACTTGACGGTAGAAGAAACGATCGAAATCTTACTCGGAACAAGAGGAATCGAAAACTGCCAGCGAGTCGCGAAGGAAATCAGTTCCCTCGTGGATATTGTCAAATATTCCAAAAGACTGACGAAAGAGCTTTCTGGAGGAGCTAAGCGAAAATTGTCCGTCGCCATTTCGATTCTCAACAACCCGGATTTCATCGTTCTTGATGAACCTTCCGTGAGTGCTTGCTTCTTTTTCTGTATTATTAATTTTTTTTCTAGAGCGGTCTGGACCCGTCAGCGAGGATCAAAATGAAAAGCTTGCTTCAAGTGTTTGAAAAATTAAACAAAGGCGTTTTGGTGAGCACTCATGTGGAGGAAGAAAGCAAAATATTGGGATCGACGTCGATATTTTTAGATCGAGGTCGAGTTAAAGAAATTATCAAATACTGATTTGCGATAAAAAATAAAGCAAAAGACTTTTTGTTGGTTCATTTATTTCTCGCTTCCCAGTCAGAAACTTGCAGGTCATAGTAATCGCTTGCTAGTCTTGTCATCACCTTCGCCGTCATATTCGTCATCTCCGACTTCGAAATTGTCTGTTTTGTCGACACCAGAAAACTTGATATCAGCTGAAAAAATGGTTATTTAAAAGTTTCTCAGAGGGAGTTCTTACATCAGCAGTGGGGTGCAGGTAGAAATTACTGTAAGATCCGCTCAAATAATCGCCTTGAAAGACGCTTAATTTGCCAAGTTCTTTCAAAATCTATAAAACATACAAAGAAGGATTCTTTCAAAACCTAACCTTGTTTGTTTCCGCTTTGTCGATTATTCCGTCTTCATTTCTATCGAAAATCTTGATCATGGTCGATCCGGCCGTCGCGATGAAATTGGCAAAGATCTTTTCGAACTTTTCAAAATCAAGTTTTCCATTTCGGTCATCATCAAATTCGTCGAACGAAAATTTGAGGAAATCAATTATCAAACTTGTTTCTGAACGAATTTTTTATTATCTCAGCTTTTATTAACTTCGTACTTTGATTGATTTTGAGGTCTTTCATCAGCTTTCGGCCGCATTTTGCGAGAAGATATTTTGGAATTTCTTTTCGGCATTTTTTAATTGATTATTTTCCAAAAAGAAACCCTAAAATCTATTTAACAAACGCACCTTCATCATTCTCTCTACAAATATCGAACAATTTTCTCGCCGCAGATGAGTACCTCCCACTCCACTAAAAAGCTCTATCAATTGTCTATTCGCAAGAAGTATTCTAAAAGACAGGAAAAACTTACTTCTTCAAGTAGAGCATCGGTAATTTGAACAGATTCCTCAGCAGATTCCCAAATAATGTCGTCAATTTTAATCAGCGAGCTGGGAATTCCCGCGAAGAGGTTTTTGTCTTCAATGTTAAAATCGACCAAACTGGAAACCACCATTTTCGCCTTCTCGATTTTCATTTTCGTTTTTTCGTCCACCAAGTTTTCACCGCCCAGTTCTTCAATTAGCTGGTCGAAATTCGCGTTCAGATTGTTGAGGCTTTCTTCTACGGAATAGCTTTCGCCGAAGACGTTGATCAAAGTTTTTACTAAACAAATTTTGAAAAAAATCCATCAAAAATTTTCTTACTTCCAGAAGCATAAACATCTTCAACAAACGACTGCCCACACTGCGCCACATTTTTAAACGAATTCATATTCGCGCAAATTTCCGGCAAAACAATTTGCGATTTCGCAAACTCCTCCTTGATCTCTTTATACCCGCTCAGGCTGGAAGTGAACATTTTGTCCATATCGCCGACGATTTTCTCGATCGATTCGGCCGGAATTTCCATCGACAAAGAAAAAGAGCAAAAAAGAATAAAACATAAAAATTTCATGAGATTTCGAAACGAAAACAAGTCTCTTTTGGCAGCGCTTTTTGGCTGAGCGGGTTCTTTTCTGCGGTCAAAGTCGAACCTGAGTCCATTTTCAATTTGGCAGTCGAGGTTCAAAACGAGATACTGAACTCCATGTTCAAAATTTTCCATGAAGCAGCAAGCTACAAGCTTTATTTGATTTATAGCGCGAGACTGCTGTAGGTAGGTGAAAACAGGCGTCTCCGGAGCGATTATAGCACCTTGGTCTGAACCTAACAGCCAAGATCATTGAAGGTCGAATGTCTAGAAATCCTACATCATTCGAAAAAGACCGCGTTTAAGCTTTTCCCAAGAAAAAAACTCATTTTTTATAGAAAAAAGAGGAGAAACTTCAGATGAAAAATGACGGGAAATTATGAAAAATATCAATAAGCAAGAATTTGTTAATTTGAACTCAAGTGTTAGGTTCGTTTCATTATCCTGAGATAACGCCCTATTTGCTGAATTTGCAAAATGAAATTACAAAATGGGGAGTACCAACTCAACTCGCGCATACTCGAAAATTCTGCGCATCAAAAAACGATGAAACTTTTCGGATTCTTCGCCGCCTTCGCCTCCTCAGCGGAGCCGACTCCCTTCCCGGTGATTTGAGCGATATTATCAACAGTTTCGACATTGGAGAAGTGAGTATTTTCTTGTCAATTCTTTCACTTATTGAATTTTCAGATGATGGACAGAGTTGCTGACTTCGATTTAAACAGAGAATGCGGCAAAATGAACTCGATCGAGGACGGAGTCGCCTGCTTGGAAAAGGGAATCGGCCATATTGTCGATCTTTCAGGTTCGTTTTCGTCTTAGATTGTTTAAAAAAAGTCATTTCAATGTTTAGCCGAGGGAATCATCGACCAAATTGACATTGTCAACCAAATGAAGGATGTTTTCGGGGGTTTGGGTGACGAATTCGGCCTCGGAAATGGAAAGAAGAAAGCGTCGTTTGGTTCTTCCTCCAAAAGAGGCTCTTCTTCCCGCGGAAAGGTTTGAGCTCGGAAAGAAACATCGCTGAAAATGTGTTATTAACACTCTCTTAAAGAGATCGACTAAAAATGCCGATATCATCGGCCAGATGGCGGACGCGTTCGGAGACTTGGGAGGTCTTGGAAGCAAAAAAGGAGGATCGAAAGGATTTGACTTGGGCGGACTCGAAGGACTTCTGAAAAATCTTTAACTGCTGCTTTTTGACACTGATTTTGAATAAATCAAATAAATGTATTGCAAAATTGAAAATCAAATTTTAGCTTGCAGAGCTCTTGTCGAAAGAAGTGGGCTCCTTAAAATTAACGACAATTTACGATCATCAATCTCTTTATTTGCCAAGCACTTGAATTTGAATAAAATGGCCATTTTGCCATCTTTTTCTTGAAATTTTGTAACATGCAGAATCGAGGCATCTTCGTCGAAAACAGAGAGGGCAAGGATCCCTGGACTGACAAGGGAGTTCCGGGCGATTGGATAACAGAGCTGAAAATTGGCGATCTTGGAGCGACGCGGTCTCTGGAGGAGGATGAGGTTTTGATCAAAGTAAAGGTAAGGCCCTTGAGAATGATTGATTTTTCAACTCTGTTTCAGGCAGTTGGCATCTGCGGATCAGATGTTCATTACTGGACTCAAGGCCGAGGAGCCCGATTCGCAGTTGACAACAAAATGGTTCTCGGCCACGAAGGCGCTGGCGAAATCATCCAAGTCGGATCCAAAGTCAGCAACGTTGTCAAAGGCGATCGCGTCGCTTTCGAACCCGGCTACGCGACTGGCGACGATGAATTGACGAAAAACGGGCGCTACAATTTGAGCAAGGTGTTTTTCTGCGCCACGCCGCCGGACGACGGTTGTCTCTGCCAGTACTTCGTGCACAAGGCGAGCTGCTGCTACAAGATGCCGGAAGAGATGAGCTACGAGCTGGGCGCGATGATTGAGCCGCTTTCTGTTGGAATTCACGCTGCTAAGCGAGCAAGAGTTGAACCTGGCCAGGATGTGCTTATTACTGGAGCTGGGCCGATTGGACTTGTGAGGTAATGAATAAATTAATTAATTAATTATTTGATAATAAAAGCGCGATCGCAGCGAGCGCAAGAGGAGCCGGAAGAATCGTCTTAACAGATGTCATCGAAAGTCGCCTAGAGCTCGCTCGATCCCTTGGTTTTGAAACTGTTAATGTCATGTCAAAATCACGTGACGACATTTTGACCGAGCTTGGGCAAAAATTCGACGCTGTGATGGAATGCACTGGTCGAACAGAATGCATGCAGCTTAGCTTCGGATTCTAAAGAGCATTCAATTTAACATCGAGCGGAAAAAAATAAATCCCGAAAAAAGCATCTTCGCGGCGAAGCCAGGATCAACAGTCGTTCTCGTTGGCTTGGCTCCGCGCGACAAGATGTACGAGTTGCCAATCATGCTTGCTTCGGTTCAGGAAATCGACATTCGCGGCGTCTTTCGCTACTGCAACACTTGGCCAGCTGGAGTCACCATAGCCCAGAAATACAAAAAACAGATTGAAGGAAAATGTCAAAATAGACTTTAGCAAAAACAGTAGCGATTTCTGCTTTTTGACTTGTTGAAAGCGCTGATCTCGCATCGATTCAAACTTGAAGAATTCGAAAGTGCCTTCGAATTGGCGCGCTCTGGAAATTGCATGAAAGTTATGTTTTCCCTTGAATAAAGAATAATGAAACTCTATTTTTACTTGAAAGAAAAACTCTTCGTTGATTTCAATTTTGATTTATTTGGATTTTTTTTTGAATAAACAGAAAAAATTGAACTTTAGCGGTAAGACTTTTCGATTATTTTTTAAATTTTTGGCAAGTTTGTATTTCTTTTTTTCCGCTTTGCGATTTCGAGAGGTCAGTTTCTTTTTTTACAGTTGAAGAATGCACGCGAAATGGAACAGGTAGATATATTTTTAATTCTTGGTTCGTCGGTAGTTTTTTTTCTTTGGAGGCAGTTTAGTTGGCTTCATCCCTCTCTTGTGGCGAGGGGTAAGTGTATCTAAACAGGCGATGATCGATGCTTAGCCTTTTTTTCGACACTTACTGAATTCGATTGTTCTGATTTCTGTTGAGAGTTCCGGCGTTGCTGGCAATGTCGGAGTCGTAATGAGGAGACATGTGCCCGTTGAGCAAGGCGACGCTGATCGAACTGGTTTCAGAGCGGACTTCTTCTTCGTCCAGAAAAGTGGAGAAATGAGGTCGGTGAGGGTTGTTATTGCCGCGGCGGCTGAGACTTTGATAGCTTTGGGAAGAAGGAGGAGAGTAGATCAGCTTTGAAGAGCTCGACTTGCTCATTGGCGCGGCGATGAAGGTATCTGTTGCGGCTCCTTCTGGAAACGAAAAATATGGAAAGAAAGTTTCATCGAATTTTACCTTGGATTTGATTATTATTTTGCCGAAGAAGCGAGCCCATCCACTCTTCATCCCCAATTTCTTGCGGCTGAGTATTGTAACCAACTGCTGGTGGCGGCGCTAAAGATAACAATAATTAAATCACCCCGGAAGTAACTTTGACGGGTTTTAGCGAGCAAGTGCAGCGCGAGTGACAGCTGGACCAAGTGCCGACCCGTCAGCTAGCCACTTGAACAAGTCACTTGCGAATTCGCCAATTTTGCTGGCTTTTTTAGAATTTTTTTTACCTGGGAAGTTGTAGGAGTTTCCCGGGTAGTTTTGAGTCGGAATAGATTCGCCCTTGCCAGAGTCGTTTCCAGAATGATAGGAAGATTGCCCAGGCGACTAGAAATAAGTAAAAGAGAGTCAAAGGGATGAAAAGCTACCTGCATGGCTCTAGGATCGTATGGTTTCGTCCAGTTGCCCTCAAAGTCGTTTCTTGAGTCGAGAGTAGCGCCATGCTTCGAGCTCGCCAAATAATCATGCCCCCCTTTTTTCATCGAAACATTGTAGGCTTCTTGGTGCCCTTGTTTTTTCTTGCTCCAGCAGCGCGCTCTAAAAATCGGCATTTTAAATAAATGATCCTCTTCCATATTCTTATTTGGCTTGAAGAAGTGCCACTGCTCTTACCTGCAACAACAGCAAACCAAAACAATCAGCAAAATGAGGAAAACCGCTGCTCCGCCGCCGATAAAGACAATGTTCGCGCTCAAAATATCGGCGAAATCGTCATTGTCAAGATCTTCAAGTTGGGTTTCATCGACGATTGCGGCAATTTCCGTGGCATTTTTGCTCGCTCGAGTGTTGATGAACACTGGAAAGCGGATGGTGCTGTTTTTTGGGGAAGGAGAAAAATTGTCGTTGGCGGCGATTTCGACTAGAAAAAGCCCGTCAGCGTGATTGCCCTGGTAGTCGAGGAGGTATTTTCCGGTTTTTGAGGTTTCCTGGAGCTTGAAAAATTGATTCGAAGTCGGAAAAAGTTGAATGGAAACATCCTCTGCGGTCGTTGAAGCGTCTTCATCGCTAACTTCCAATCTCGATACAGTAACATTCGCCTGTTCCTCGACCACCGCGTAGGATTTGCCCTTGTTAGTCCGCAGCGTCTTGAATTTCTTGAACTCGATCGAAGGAGCGAACTCGTTGACGTCGAGAAGCTGGATTTTGACATGTGCCTCGCTGACTGTCATCCCCTGCATTTCCGGGTTTTCGGCGGTAATGACAAATTCCCATTTTTTGTTGTTTTTCTCTCCTTCATCTTCAAAATCGAGTTGTCTTTTGAGAACAATTTGGGCGGACTTTTTATCGGCCATCATTTCCAACTCGAAGGGATTCGGCGGAGTCGACAGCTGACTTTTTTCAGGTTTGAAGTCGAATTTGATGTCGGAAAAAGCAGGGCTGAGATCGTTGTCTTCAGCGGTGATGATTCCAATTATGTCGCCTTTTTCAGCAGTTTCGGGGAATTCGAAGCTGTATTTCGACTTGGAAAAGGTCGGCTGGTTGTCGTTCTCGTCGATAAGCTCGACAAAAATGCTCGTAGCGCTTGTTTTTTGCGGAAAACCGCGGTCTTTTGCCACGAGTTGAAGTTCCATCTTTCCCAATTCAGCGCTTTCCGAGTCGAGCTGTTGTTCATCGTAATCGATTTTTTGCCTGAGGACGATCGAGACTGGCCCGCAATCGCCTTCCACTTCAGTGCCGAAGAGATACGAGTCTTTTCCAGTTAATTCGTAGTCGATGCAACCGTTTTCGCCGGCGTCTTCGTCCGTGGCGCTAAAGCGGTTGAGCAAGACGTAGCCGATTTCTTCCGATTCGGAGAGTTTGACTTGGTATTCTGTTTTTTGCGGTCAATTTTTGAAACTTTGAAAGAATTTTACAAAGCGGCTTATTTTTTTAATGAAAAGAAAGGAAGAAAAAATGACCATTTCCTTGAAGCTGAAACTTGGGGCCATTGTCGTTCACATCCTGGACGACAATCTCGAGAGGATAAACCTTTGTAAGGGGGCTTTGCTCTCCGTCGGTGGCTGAGATCGTCGCCTGAATAACTGTAGTCTGCTCGTAGTCGAGCGCCTCGGCGAGGAGCAGTTGAAAGCTGCCGACTTCAAACTTGACCAGTTCAAAAGCGCTGTTGTCGATGGAGGCGGTGACTTCTTCGCCGCGGTTGTCTTTATCGGTGACAAGGACAATTGCGAAGAGCCTGAAATTACCTTTAATTTTTCTCAAAAGGAAAATTTGATTGGCCAATTAAAATTCAGGAATTTCAAAAAATACCAATAAGATTTTTAATAGAGCTTTGAAAATAAAACAATCCGAATATCAAAATTGATAAAAAAAATGCCAAATAGTGGAAAAAATTCAAGTGCCGTGGTGGTGGTGGTGGTGCAGCATATCAGTGCCTGTTTTGGCAACAGATTCTAGAGCGTCAACAACTAATTCACTTATCGCGAAAATTAAGAATATCGCCTCCTGAGCCGTGAAAAACGCTGGATTAAATGATCCTCTTATCACAAATCGCAGCAAGTGGTCCCTGAATTGAGTCACTCTTACCCTCCAACTTCGAAGTCTTCTTTCAGAAAAATCACGCTCGAGTTGCTGCCTGCCTCGGCATTCAGCGGTGTGACTTGGACTTCCGGCTCTTCGTCGTTTTCGTCGAGGACGTTGACGTTGAGGATGCAGTAGGCGACTTTGGGTTCTTGACCGTTGTCAACTGCTTCGAGGTAGAGGTGGTGGGATTGGACGTTTTCGAAGTCGGGTGATTCGAGAATTGTGATTTCGGCTGTTTGAGGGTTCAAATTGAAGACTTTTCGGGCTTCGGTGTTTGTTGTCGAGGAATATCTAAAATTGAAATAATAAATTTTTGAATACTTTTAACAATTTGTCTCGAAATATCTACTTTTCATCATCCGGAAATCTTTTAAAAGCTTTGAGAAAGTATCAATCAGCCTACTGTCACTTTTGCCGCGTTTTTTCTTTCTACCTGTAAGTAATCTGTCCATTTAGCCCATCATCCGCGTCGGTGGCAACAATAGAGATCGGCAGTCGCTCGCCAATCGCGAGCCCCTCTTTGATTGAGATCGAAACGGAGCCTCCCTCGCAGCCTTGCCAAGTCGGCCGATTGTCATTAACGTCAACAACGTTGACGAGCACCTTGACCGTGCTCGCGCGCTCGCCTTTGTCGAACGCCGTCAAGGCGAGTTCGTAATTGTCCTTTTCTTCGCGGTCGAGAGTTCTTTTTAAAATCAGCTGTGGAACTTTCGTGTCGTCTGGGTTTTTGTACTCGACCAGGTTGAACGTTTCCGAGTCGTCTTTCAGCGAGTAGCGGTCGATTCCGAATTCGTCGGAGTCTTCATCAGTCGCGCTGAAGAGCATTTTTCGCTGGCCAACTTGGGCGTCTTCGGAAAAGAAAATCTCGATCGGTTCGTCTTCGAAAACTGGCTTGTGGTCGTTGACATCTTCGATCGTCAAACTAAACGATTTTTTGATGATGAAAAATCATTGAATCAAATTTTTCTCAAGGGTGTCCCTTTCTGAACAGAATTTCGAAAAATTATCTCATAAGAATTAAAGAGGATGGGAAATCCGTTTAAATAGGGATTCCCTTATGATTTTTTTGCGGAAATCGCCGAA